AATTACACAATAATTAATTTTAAGTCACATTTTTCTACTCTAGTAGTTCAATTCCCAACCCCCCAACATGGCAATTGTCAAAGACACCAGATAATAATGTTAGCCGCTGACCTATCCGTCCATATTCTCAGTGTCAAGTGTATGAAAACTTCAACTGCGTAGAATATAATTAGTACTATTTATAATGTAACATTTCACTGCCATACCATCGACATTTCGAATCATTTCGAATCCTATTGTCGATGGTATAACGTACACTAAATCTTATACAGTCCTACAATGATGTTTCAACACCACTTTCAGTTCTCCGATTACCTGATTAAACTAATTGCATAATAATTTATTAACTCCTTAAACGTTAAAGCAAGTTTTTGAAACAAGTTTGTTTCTTTTAAAGAACTCATGTTATTGTAACATTGTGTGTTGCAAAAGCTTTTTACAAAGATGGAACCTCCATAAAGATACATAGATTATATGGTATTACAATAAACAAGAGTTGTAATAAATAACAGGATCATGTCAAAACTATTTAATATTAGTCAAAGGTGTGGCAACGAATAAACACAGGCCGTGATATAATCACGAAATCATTACTCCGCTAGTCCAATCTAAGCAACGTTAGCAATGTTTTTACAGGCGACTTCGCCTGTTAGAGTCATTAGCGGGTTGTCATCGCATTTGACGTGGTGCGTGATAAATCGCCGCGGGAAACACGCAGGCGGACTGATGCGCTGCGACCGAAACTTATTACGGATAGCGGATCACCGACCACCTTGAGATAATATTTGGTGTAGCATTGAGTGACATGAGACCGGCGAGTTACCTGATTTTGAAAGTAAACAGTTTATTCGCGATAAATACTCACAGTTATACGTGTCCACTGCTTCGTTAGTCCTAACGTTAGTTTCGAATCGTAAAGTCGTTATCGTTATCGATAGACCGGCAAAACCTCGTAACAATAAAAGCGTCCATTTCTATTTGTAGGCTGCTGAAGCGGGGTCATAAGGCAAAAACATCCTCACCTTCACACATGTAAAGAAATACTAGTCAGTAAAACAAAATTGCTAATGTCCATGTCTCACCCAAACTCGCTCGAAGTTGCTGATGAATATGATTAACTAGGATAGAAAGTCCAACTTCGGCATCTTGAAGACTATTTTTCAATCAATGTGTGTTGCACAGTGCTTCTGTGGAGCGGGCTATACTTGGCATTTCTCTGCATGATACAATGATGTCTTAAGAATCAAGAGTTTGCAATGCAAATATAAGCAGTTGCACCAAGGTAACCAGCATAGCTCAATAGATAAGTAAACTGAAGTGACCATATAGCTTTTAAAACCGATTACCGATGGGGAAGAAAGGTTCTTGAGTGGCCTGGTACTGGCAACGGCCTATACAAGTTTTTGGGAAGTCGATGAATACTGGGGTCCGTTTTACTTTGCCGTCTGTAGGAGAGGCCAATTTCCAACAGTGGACTAAAACAGGCTGAAATGATGATGATGAAATGAAATTCATTAATTTTCTTGAAAAGACCCGATTAAGTGTATTGTTATTAATAAGAGATATTTACCGAGTTTAAGGGTTTACTTAAAGTCCAGATGTATAACAGTGATTCGTCAATATTGTAATTATTGTTGCCTTGGTAGCCACTGTCTAAGTTGTCGCGGGTTGTGGATTCGATTGCCACATGGAATAAGGTTTGTGTAAGCTACGGATAAATGAAAATTTGATGACGCTTGTCCATTGACAATTTATGTAAACGTTACCACAGTACCATGCAGGTACCATACAGTAAGGATATTTTTTTTAAATAGACTGATATACATAAGTGAAAATGTAAGTAACAATAATGATATATCTGTCTTGGAACAATTCTAAATGTACCATGAACGGTTCTCGTTGTGGGTGGTGTCTCGCTTGTAAGCGAATATCGATTCCACGAAAGCGAATAAATACGGCTCCGGGAACACGAGCGTCGCCAGGTGTTTTCCTTGTCCGACCGTAAATGCGTTCGCGGTTCACGCCTGTCCGTTTAATATTCGATGGAGTGGTGTCGCGCGTTAATTTTACGATCGTAGCGTATCGCAATTGAAATTTAACTTTAAACCTGTTCAGACAAACGACGAAATATAACGGCACGCTTGTACGCGTAGATATTTATAATGCGGTCGTTTGTACGTCCGAGCCGTTATTGTAGTAAGTGTATGTTCTTACGAATAACTCATTGTCGCATAGAGAGAACATAAAATATGACAATAAAAGTGTAAGTCGCTAGATGATGCTACGTTTTGTCTTGCTGGTGGGTTTTCAATAATATATTGTTATACCGCTTATTTTACCGGTTTGGTAAGAGAAAAAAAGTAAGGAAAAATTGGTTGCATTGTTAACTATCGTATTTGCTCGGTTCCAAATAGGAACTAAAATGAATTAAATGAATCAAAAAATTATTCTTAAAAGTATCGATATATATAAATCAATTTTTTGTTATTAACTTTAGGCCACTTGGAGATAACGTAGTTCTGAACAACTGTTTTTTTTTTTTTTATATGAACAAACACAACCTATTTGCAGTATTAATATAGATATAGGTAGGAGGCGATAATAATAAAAATCAACGCCTGTTAGTAATGAGATAACATGTATACGAGGACCCGAAAATTAAAATTTGTAATCGTTTTAAAAGCAAAGGTAACGTGGGAAGCGTAGAGCGCCACGTGTGGGCTGTCTGCCAAACACGACGGAAAAAACACGTTCATGTGTCTGATGAGAAACGCGAGGTGATTGCGAGCAACGCCACGGGGCACGGCCACTAGACGATTGATATGGCTTAATATGGGACGTTATTGCAGGGAGGGGAAGTCATTGGGTTTTATTTGTGCACCAGTCGAAGCCCGCGGCGTCGCCCGTGTGGATTTCTGTTTCGAGAATCATCGATAGGTTTAAAAAAGGGATCCAGAATCACACTCCAGATCGATCACACTGTATCACAAATATTCAGGAAAAACAAAGTCAATATCAATCTCAGCTCAATTTCGTTGTGCCATGATATAAAGACAAACCAACAAACGCGCCTTCGCTTAAAACGTTACTAAATTTGCAGTATATTTGCAGATTACGTTACAGACTACAAGAAAATATGAAATCATTTTTTAAAAAAAATTGGCTAGCAAGGTGTGTAATATTGTAAGAAATCTTATACCGCACCGGTAATTTGTGAGAGAAACAAATAATAAATTAGATAATAAAAAAGCTCAAACGTTTCACATAAGATTGGTACGTTTTCGTTTTCAAGCTTTTTTAGCAAATCTTGCAACAAAATTAAACAAACCGTAAATAATGTTCATTGGCAGCGATTGGGCAAATATCACTTTCAATTTTGCATAAATTTATACACAGAACTGCCGGGATAGTTTTGCAATAGTTAAATAATGAATTGTTAACACGTTAAAATGAAAAAAGAACATTTTAACGTGTTACTCATTATGGTAAACGTTTTCTTATGATCTTCAGCAATAATAATGTCTATTTTTAACATAAAACATTATGATTAATTTCGAACTCATGCCCGATCCGTAAATTCAAATAAATATGTTCCAGGCTATGAAAAATTCTTTGAGACAAAAATGTGACGCTTGCTAATTAGGATTCTTAAGGATATGACACGGGAATTACATCAGCGTTTCTAGCAGATGGTAGGATGGGATATTTAGGAACGTAACGAGTTCTTAAATGCGCATTTATTAATCATTTAAACATTTACACGAGCAACAAACGTTAGGATTAACGCGTACGTAAATAGATTCTGCGCCGTGGGGGACACATGGATGGTCGTGACCGTCCTGGTACCGCTACCGAAGCCCTTATTGCGAGGGCAATAAAGGTCAAAATTGCAAGTGCGTTTCAACGAAAGCATGTGGCACCTTCCTCGGTGTCACATCGAGGTGGTTTTGTTTTGAGAGTAACGGAATGATACCGTCGAGTGACAGACGTGTGAACGCGACGGTGCCCTTTTCACAGGGCCAGTGTGAAAGGAGCTTTTAATTCGACGATTAGAGTTTAGGAGGGCGACGGACGAAAATAGAAAGCTGAACGATCCATTACCTTCGGGACGAATTTTATGAATGTCTTGAGGGTAGTTTTTTGGGTGAAAAGGTGGATGATCGAGCAACCAGGCATTGCAAACGCCCATGCACGTCAACTACACCTGACGTGATGCAGATACCTTGGCAACCATGAAAAGAGAGCAGACCTCACTCACCAGGTGAAGCGTATAATACTCCCGGTTCTCTTCAACTTGATATGTGAAACAGCGGTACTTCCCCAGATGAGCCTGAGCATTCGTGCAACAGCCGAAGCTGATGTATGATGGATGTACATATAGCTATTAAGTATAGCCATTGATAATTATTGCTATTAAATGAATTTCAGTAGAAAATGTATTTTAGTAGGAAATGTTAGTTAACTTTTTTATATTCGCTATACCCTTTACTTTACAATAAAACTGGGTTAACTGGTTGTTCCAATGACCATAGTTTTAGCAGCAAAGTACTCGAGACGTTTTGCACTAAAAAAAAATGTGACAATATCCGTAAAACAGTTTTATTAAACTGCGTGTAAATAGCATTTCAGATTCATACCTTTAGAGATATCAAGCAATTCCATTTAAGACTATAGTTTCTTTTATGGGGTAGCTTAATATCCCCATCGGTATCCGTTCCGTTACAAACTCGATCAGATAATAGACTCTAGGCTAATCTGGGAGGTTTTATTATAAGCTAAGCCCCACACACACTCATTCGCCGCGAATAAAATCAAAAGGAACGAATAAAACTTTACAGCCCGGCGTACGGGCAGACGATTCCATTAGGAGTATTCCCTAAATTCGCAACGGAATGACCACTTTAAAAACTCCTTAACCGCAGCGATGTTGTTTGAGAATGTCTCAATTCACTGCGAGCGTGCGCGGCGCCCTCTGGGTATGCAAATTTTATTTTTAAAAAATGCAAGTGGCCAGCCACATGTCGCCACGGCCGCCATCGCGCGGCGACCGCTCCTTTATTATTGCTCCCGTCGTCCTGTAAGTACTCGTCCACCTTCCTCCTTGCTTCGTTTAGATGCCCTGATTCGCTTTGTTATTATACTGGTATTCTCCGTCCGATGACGGTGCATATCAACTTTTTATATAACAACTTTTAAATCGATATTTGTCTGTGAAATGTTCCCGCTCACTTCTGAAGTATACTGTCGTAGTTAATAAAGATTGTGTTTATGAAATAAGTTATTAAACGGTTACAGTTAACATAACGGTTGCATTTGAGTTAGCAACATTTAATAGAGCAGATATGAAGTCACTTTACTCAATCTTGGATTTGACGTGATATAAAATGTTTACGTAAGCCTTGCTTTCCCTGATCTCCAAAATTAACAAGAAAACCATTACACTACATTGAAATACCAAAACAATAAAACTATCAAAAGTAGGTAAAGATTCAAATTAAACAAATCAAACGGTATTAATTATACTTGAAGCAGTAATATGTAATTAATAAGAGCGTATTATAAATAGAGGTAAATAACAATTACTGTACTTTTCTAACATGATATTTAGAATATAATTATAACGTGTAGCTTAGTTAATAGATTAAAACATTTTGCGGACACATAGCAGTTATTCACAAGGAAGTAGATATTAAGACATTGTATGTATGTTGGTAACGTATATATAGCCTCCAGTATGCCAGATATCCATCGGGTAATCTTTACGAGTGGACGCCGGATCACGGGTGACGTCTTTATTAAAGGGGCAAGGTGCGCACCGAACGTCGTAAAACGCTACCAGCTGGACGAAATGAGCCTGCATACACAGTTGTCTTAAGAGTTCTACCTATAACTATTATAGGCTTCTACATAACCATTCCAACTTAGACTACATCCATAGTCATCTTTAGAGATCTACGGTGGTAGGGCCACGCAGCAGCCTCGGCTGTTGCACGAATGGGCAGGCCCGTCCGGGTAAGTACCACGACCTCACAGAAGACCGGCGTAAAGTGGAAGTATGATACTTTCGCGTTTCGTCTGGTGAGTGAGGTGGCCGGATCCCAATTTTCAAAAGGTCGTCAACGCATCTGCAACCCTCGGGTGTAGCAGATGTCCATGGGCGGCGATATTCACTTAACATCAGGTGAACCGTCTGCTCGTTTGGCAACTATTCAAATAAAAAAAAAACTCCATTACTTATGGAGCTTTGGTCAATATGTTAATTATCGTTTGTCTAATCAGGTGGAAACAGTTTTCTGTGTAACCAATTTGCTATGCTGCTTTAACGGGGTTGTAATTAGTAACGCCTAATCTAGACTTAGACAAATCATCTCTGCAAGATTTAATAAAACAGTTTTTTTGCAGCGTTTTCTGTGTAGATCGAACGGATATTAATTTCAAAGCTGTAGGTAATCCGGGCATTTCCAAACCTGAGTTTTTCTCATAAATTTATATTATGAAAAGTTTTTGAAATGATGAAAAAAATATAGGAAAGAATTTTTTGATTACAAGGAAAACTACTTTTCCCTTTCATGTTATAATAATAATAATAATTTCCGGATCCATATATCGCACCTTTAGAATTATAGTGACCTATTTAAAAATATCAATTTTTGGGAAACGTAAATTAAGGATTTGCCGAACTTATGAACAAACGCGCTAATTGGAGTAAAGCGAAAGAGACAGAAATATAAGTTATATAGCTTTCTAAAATAGGCCCATGTTTTAATAGGATTCGAAAAAGGTGGTCGTTTTAGGTCGTTTCCTGACATAAAGCCAAAATTATGATTTTCATAATTAGGTCCTTTTAATTCCAAAGGTGCGATATATATACCATATTCGTATCACTGATGCTGTTTGTACGAATTTTAAGGGCAGCATGTACATATTGTCGTGGCTCCATAAAATGTTAAGTCGCGTTTTTTTAAAGCGCATCACGCCGGGAACGGGCTGGGGGTCGGAATAACAAATGCGGCCGGGGCAACGCGGTGCTCCCGAACATATAAAATATATAAAGTTTGACCGCTAGCGGACGCTGAGTGTACCACCTACAGATACTTTACGGGCTTACATGGCGTCGACCGCAAAACTGTTATATTATAAAATTTATCTCACTGAAAATATAATCTGTGTTATCTTGCTTATGATATTTAAGCTTCTTTTACATTTTGATGTTGAAGGTAATTCTGCAATGTGAGTTATGTTTTTGTAAATGAAAAAAATTACGAAAATTATGTTTATTTATTATCATATAAAGGTAATTAATGTTAGCTATACTTTGTTTTATCGAGCTAAGAAGGTAGAAATATAAATACTTTTACCAAATCACCGTAGTTTTACTTTGCACAACAATAACACTGGTATCACTTGTGACTTCCTTTGACTTCCTTTAGTGTTGCTAACAGTAATTAAAGTAAATTAAGATTATTTTTACATTATCATATTAAGTAAATGTGGGTACAAGTTGTCTGTTATATATAAACCAATATTTTTATAACTTAATGGAAGTAGTGTCAATGCCTTAGTGGAAGTAGTAGTAATTGTAAAAATAATCTTGATAATGTTTTTTTTAGTCCAAAAACAACTCTTTACTTTGGTTAAATAAGGTGATTTATAATTAAGGGTTCGTGTCTTTTATTAATTTATAATTATTACAGCAACGATAATAAATATATAAACTCTGCCAGTTTTGATACACTAATACCCAGTTTCCGAAAGGCCAATCAAAGCAGCATTCACATAACACTATGTCAAAAATGATCAGCTGTTAATCTCTTGTTAAACTGCCTTGGGTTTCTGGAAGGTTTGTCCAAGAAAAATTAGCTAATCACTGTATAACCAACGATAATGAATGAAATGAATGATTTACTTCAACTAACTCTTTCTATTGTATAGCTGTCCCTTTTTAAACAAAACTTAAATTAACGTCACTATCCAGACCTGTCACCGTGTGATTGCCAACGTAAAATCCGAGCTATAATAAAATTTAATTGATATAAATACATGCAAAATGTCAAGAAAAAACATTACAGAACGTGAAAAAAATGAACTTTTATCCATAATAAACAAGTAAGTATTATAAAAAGAAAGAATCCATATTATTTATTAACTTTTGAATTGCAATTTTTATTTTTTCTAATCGCATGATATGTAACAGGTAATAGAACACATGAATTTCCTTACGACGTATTAGGGAATTATGTTTATTTCTAATAAAAAGTAAGATTTTTGATAAAATACATTTTTAACCAACGATTGATCGTCCAAATTGAGAGATTACTTAATTAAACTTTTGACAGGTCGTTGACCACCGAAAAGCGCTTTCAGAAACTCGATTTTCTGTTGATTGTCCGTTAATCAGTGACTAATTGCAAATCAAAATCAATGTTGTTTTCAGACGTTCTAGCAACTCAGATCATGTTAAACAACGTTTGACAAGAGATTTATCGTAAATTAAAATTGATTGCGCTTTTGGAAACTGGGTGTAAGGTGTCTCGTTCAACTATGCCGGATAGTACAGTAGTAACAGATTGTTTTATTATAATTATGAATATTAACATGACATTCAAAGACATGTAAGCCGACCACACTTGTAGCAATATTGTATCAAGTAGAAGAGTCCACGTACAGACGTGTTTGTATGAAAAATATTCCAATATCCACCGAACCACCCCTCACACCACCCTCTGCGGGGGGAGGGGTGATGGAACGCCACGAGAAAATATAAGGTGATCGTAATAAGATGGCTTTCAGGGTTTGAGGTCCGCCACTTCTCAAATTATATGTTTATCTTGTCTGACATATGTACACATTTCATATCAGCTCTTTCTTGCCATCTTGAAAATATTTCGCGACGTTTTGTGTCATTTTATCCACGATTTTAGTGTGAGAGTAGCGTTTTATCAAATAATTAATTAAAATATTTGTGATAAAAATAAATTAAAGGAGTTTTAAGAGCTTAAGTTCAATGTGCTTTGATTTTCATTACATTTTGTAAATAAATTACAAAAAGAAAGCATTTAAAATATTCTTTCGTAGCTATCCAGCTAACCAGATATCTATTTATTGACAAATGTTTATTCCTACATGTATCAAACTACACATGTAATTAAAATGACTAAGAAAGGCTTTATTTGGATGTATTAAAAAGTAATAACTTAGCGTATGCATTGCTTTATACATAGTTATAGTCATTAAAATGAAATCTTTGATCTGTATATAAAGTACAAAAGTTATGAAACGGTTCCTGACATGCAATACCGAATCCGCTAGATTAAACATAAGCTCGGGCAAAAATGGGCATATCGCGAGATCTTCTCTGTGACCGGAAATTAAGACAGAGGGCGGCCCGCCCCGGCCTCCCTGCTTCCGGTGCACGGACGTCACCTTGCGCCGTGGGCGAAGGTTGCACAGATGGACGCTTACCAACAATATTCATAATAAACAAGGTCTGAGATCTCTGACTTAAATAAACTAGGGTGAAAATTAAAAGGTAATCCCATGAATTCAATTCAAATTGAAAGGTGTGCAGTAGCTATCAGATTCCAGGAGATTTAGCTCATTTTGTCTCTAACGTTTGACGCTCTTGTCGCACCCATTGGAGGCAAATAGACAGCGATGTTATGAAAAGGTATACTTGGAAACAAGTTTCTTAGAAGAGCATAGAGGAGGTTAGTAATTTAAATAAGTTACTGAATACATACGATTTTAAGGAAAAGAAAACGTTTTCTGACCAGTTCTTTATTTAAAATCTTAATCCAGTTCATCGGGAGTTTACTTTAAAATAAATATTATAATATCGAACAACCAAACAACCATACAGACGAGCAAGCAAATTACACGCATAGCTCAGAAGATTAGTAAGCTGAAGTGGCAATGGGCCGGCCATATAGCTCGTAGAATCGATAAATGATGGGGAAGAATTGTACTCGCGTGGCAGCTTCGTACTTGCTATCGCTGTGAAGGGTAACTCCCCACTAGATGGAGTGACGACCTGTGCAGGTGTGCGGGAAGTCGATGGATGCAAGTGGCTCAGGATTGTGCTTCGTGGCAATCAGTGGGGGAGGCCTGTGCTCAGTAGTGGACTAGAATAGGCTGAAATGATGATAATGATGTAGTAAGTTAATGGAACGTGGTAGCGTGTAACCTATTTTACATCTACATTGGCATTTTCTTTATATGGAACTGACTAGCGCCTGACTGCCATCCCACCCGATGGTAAGTGGCGATGCAGCCGTGGATAGTAAGCGCGTTAGCTCACTGAAAGCGTATTCACTCTTGAAGACGCCTACGTTATAATCGGACGGAAAGACCGACGCAGGCAGGTTGCTCTATTCCTTAGCCGTACGTTCGTTCAATTTATTCTGTTAAATGTACATTTTATTATTTTAAATACTTTTCGTAGTGATAATATGTTCTTTACATTACTGTAGAATAGCTAACGGCTAAATTAAATGTTCAATGTTTAAAAACAATTGCAGATGTATCCACCGGAAGTAGATGAAAATGTTTCATATTATTTGATAACAAACGAAATTGTTGCCCAATGTCTTTTGCCTAATTTCTATTCGAAATGAATGATGTCACAACACTAGAAGCAAAGTAAAGGAACAGGCTATTGTGCCGCGAACAAAATAAAGAATAAATCTCACGCTAATAACTTGAACACTCCAGCCGTACATCAAACGAGAGGCTATTATGGGACAAATGTAAAAATAACTTTTCCTATTAACTGCCCTCTACCAGATTCCCTGCTTCCCTCATCACGGACCACTGTAACGGATTGCTCATTAGTTTTGTATTGTTGTTATTCGCGATTTATTCGTTGTTATGATAAAAAGAGTTAAAGATATGCGATACTTAAAATAAGGAATATTGAAAGAAAAAACTGAATCAGTTAATTGTGTAAGGTTCACATGACAAATAATTGTACGCGATAAATTAGAACACAATAAATTCGTGAAAATAGTTTCATTTATAATTTACTAGGTTTTATAACTTTACACAAAATAAATAAAGATTTTTCTTATGGCAATTGGGCTTATTTTATAATTTTAACATAAAACTGATTAAAAACATATACTCCGTAATTTAAAAGTGAAAAAGTTTAACACGTAGACATCAAGAACAACCGTGTGGATAAGGTTTAAACGTGAACCCTGGTGACCTCACTTCCTAAACGAAATGTAAAGGTACAATTATTTCCACTTTACATCGGTCGTAGACCAATATACTGTTAATATACTGTTGACATCGGTTCTGGCTGTGGTACTTCCCCGGATGAGCCTGCCTATTTTTGCAACTGAAGAAACTGCTACGTGGCTATACCACAGTGAAATATTGTGTCTTGGCAATAAGTTTATATTTTGAAATTCATAGGTAACTATTGTAAATGAATTCGTTTCTCAACGTTCTATATCACCAATTGAGATAGATTCCATTTGAGTCTATTTGCCTATCTTATTTCTTTTGTTCTACTGATTTAAGTAAGTTGATGATAGGTGGCATTTTATCATCATTAATTCGACCATGATGACTTAATTTATGATATAATTTAATTATAATTTATTAAATAAGGCAATTGTTATGGTAGTATCACACATAATATTAGTAAGTTAACATTCGTAAGGTTGTTTTAAGCTTAATTTCTAATTTGCATATCTCATAAATGTGAAGAACATTGAATTTTCTGTACTTTTTAAAATAATTATTGCAACAAGATCTCTCGTTAGAGTATAAAAAGCTAGTCCTATTCATGTCTCCCGTAGCTTTTCTCGGAAATGAGAGTTTTGGGTCCAAATATGAGATTAAAATCTTTGCGCATTAAGATATACAAATAACAGAAAGCGTTGTTGTCGTGCGTTGCTAGGATTTGAAATAGAGACCTTAGCAAACAAATATAGCCTATATATTTCCCACTGCTGGGCAAAGGCCTCCTCTGTACAGAGGGAAACAGGACACGGTCCATTACGCAGCCTCAATGTGGATTGGTGGACTTCACATTTCTTCAAAATATTTTATTTGTTATCATTTCCAAAACATGCAGGTTTCTTCACGATGTTTTCCTTCGCCCATGTGATAAGATTATCAATATAATTTCAATAAATTCATTCTGACTTTTTTGAAATTCACACTTACTAAATAAGTCTTGAGTTGTGCACAATTTCGAAATCAATTTAAGCGCCTTTAATGGCCATTGTATTTCGACTATAGACATAAATAATACCTTAGTTGTCTAAATTGATAGAAGCACACAGTAATTACAGGGTATGGCTGGCGACTGCGTGATTAACAAGGGAAATTGTCTCTTACGTCCGAAGGTATATGAATCAAATTACTTTATGTGTCGCCTGGATCTAAAGCTCAATTGTGATCAAGGGGCAATTGTGCCACGGATGGCAACCGGACACCGGGCAATATGAAAGCGACAATAAAAGGTGGTAGACCTGTCTCGTTGATTGGTACAGTCGCGCGAAACAGCGGTGAGTACGTTGCTTAGGAAAATCTAATGGCATTCAAACTAAGAAGTTATCTCGGAGCTTATTTGACCGAATGAAAATCAAAACTTGTAGAACAAGCTGAGAAATACTTGAAGTAGTGTTTCTGAAAAATAAACATTGCAACATTGCACTGTAACATGCCGAGAAATAGGCTTTAGGTGAACACTTAAATTAAAAATTCATAGGAATTAATAAAAATTTCAAAACAAAAGCATTTTGAAGATGTGTAGAGTCTGCCAGTCCGCAGTAGGATCGCGTGTAGATTATACCTATATTTCATTGGGTTAATAGGCTATTTATTATAAAGTCTATTAGAGTTATTTTTTGATGACATAAGGTGCGACCTGCTTCTCATTTGATGCATTGCAATAATAATAATTTAACAAAGGCTACCTTCACACACGTGAGGGATTCTACTGACTCCTATCAAGGTACATCTTGGATAGCTATTATAGAATAGATATATAAGAATGCACAGTTCTTGTAAGGTCAATAAGCTTGCAAGTATATTAACTTTACTGTTACTTCAGCCATCAGACATCAATAACTGCGGTACGATCCTGGACGAGCTGGTCCATCCATGCAACATTAAAAGCTGTCGCGTGTTTCTACTAGTAGTCCTTTCCCCTTTCACACTCGTACATGGATCGACTGCGGGTCTTTTTACGCCCCCTTCGGTAGCAGAATCAATGGCCGCACCACAGTCCAAGATAAGCTTCTCGGTACCGCGGGTCCGATAACCCGCCACACCTCTGGCGCTCGTGTGCGTGAGGTCACAGACCCCACGGCGGATATCGCCAATTCGCGCGGCAATAAAGGTGCGTTTACCTCGGCCCGCCTTGAACCCGGCGGGACAATGCCGGCGCGGATCCCCATTCATGCATAAGACCACCCGCTGATATTGTTCGCTGTATATAAATAATTAATGAAATTTAGGACACATTTTTACACAGCGTTCTCTAGTCCCAAACTAAGCAACGCTTGTACTATGGGTACTAGATAACTGATAAACATACTTAAACGTACTTTTGTTTTGTAAATAAATACATATTGTATATATAAAAAGCCAGACACTAGAAAAAGACTATGCTCATCACACAATATTTTTACAGTAGTAAGATAAAACAGGGTCATTTTATTTTTATCAATTATATAACTCCTTTAATATCCATAAGCAACACACATTTTTTTTTCACGACGTTATAACATGCCGTTGACAGTTTGAAAGTCGTTTAGCTAGTTTTCCTCCTTGATTTTAAAAGTATAAGCTCCTATTAAGAATATATTTTATAATACATTTAATATACCTAGTTGCAGCGCCAATAAATGATATTCGTCAGGCGAACATTTTGGATAACATGTTCGTTTCTTGAGTTCAGCCATTTTGTTGTAATCGCCGTTCAATGTACGGTGTACAGTTCACCTTTTATCAAAAAGTAAGACACGTGATCTCAGTAGGTACGGATTAATAGATAACTGTTATTTTTCATGACTACTTTGTTGCATACGTTCTCTCTTTGTACTACGACACTAAATATCCGTTCCTCTTTGTCGTTACATAGTCTTTAAATATATTTTTTTATCTTGGACAAATAAATGTTTAAGTTAAAACCATTTGAAATAAACGAAAAGCTTGAAATGAAAGAAGATTTGTGAAAACGCTTATCTCACTAATCGCAAATTATTTACTAAGATCTTTTAGGTTAATTTCACAATGAGTAACTAAGCCCTTAAAGTTTCTAGGTTGAAATTTAGCATACATAAATCGACTCATAATAAAGACCTAATAAAAAGACTTCTAAATATTAGCGTTCAGCAGTTCACATTAGCGACGCATAAATATGTCGACAATATACCATTTTCATAAAGTGATTGTAAACACGATATTATAAATAGATTTTGTTAATGTGACATAATTTAAAGATGCACTAATTATTGGTTAATTAATTCTTCTAATTATTTAACCTTAATGCTACTTAATGATTTATCAAAAATTATCTAATAACAAAATAAACAAAAATATCTCCTGTCTCCATCAGAGGGAACCGCCAAAAGAGTTATAATCATACCATTAATACCTAATGGATTGTGTCATTCTAATTGTAGTGACTGCATCAAAATGGATAAAGTTGTACTTCTAGCTAAGCAGGTGGAGCCGCAGCTGGAAACTAGTTGAATGTTACATTTATTTGCAGGGATGCAAGGTAGCAGCTGCGATTGGATTCGGGACTGGCAGACAGTTAGGCCCACACCTCAAGCGCGCAGTGCGTGCCCGCTTGATTGCTCGCAATTGTCGGCAATCAGCGTCAATTCGCCGCCCCTCCCCCGCTTCCCCTCCACCGCTTTCACTTCTCACCGGTACAGTCGCCGGCATAAGCGTTATCGCTACATAGTATAAAACAAAGTCGTCCCGCTGTCTGTCTGTCCCTATGTATGCTTAGATCTTTTAAACTACGCAACGGATCTTACGTTGTTTACTAGATCATTTTGTAACAAAAAAATCACTGTTGATTCAAGAGGAAGGTTTATTTACATAATACATTGCACTCGTGCGAAGCCGGGGCCGGTCGCTAGTTTTAATATAAGTTCTCGCGTCTCCCTACCGCAAGAAGGTACGACATACCAGGCATGATTCTTGGTGTAGCTATTACGTTAACAGTCCATAATTTTGAAACAGTGATATTTGCAGAAGAATAGAGTTGAGCAATGTGAACCTCTGTTTCTCAGTTTGATTGTAATGCTGTCATAAGGGCCTAGCATGTGCGTTTATCACTTAATATAATATCATAACATTTAAATTATATGGATATATCGTAGTTAATTATGAAAAAGGGCGCGATAACATCTGCAGATCAGATATTGTACGGCATAAACGTTTCAATGTTGCAACGAAATGATATTAGCCAAACTATGAGCATCGTAGACCGATCGGCGAGACAACACCATGCAAAGACCAGCGCTAAAAAAGTGTTTAAAAAAAACACGTGAGGTAAAATGAGGCAGAAAAGAACAGTGCATGGCAACACTGTAAAATCCCTGGTGTTGTGAGTGTCCTTGAGTGGTGGTTCCCACTTGCTATAGTTAAACCATTTAATCAATTATATAGAATAGAAAAAAAAAGATTTAGCGATACAACACACGATATAATTCCACTGCGGTAGGGCCACGCAGCAGCTGTTGCAGGAATGGGCAAGCTATCCGGGAAAGTTCTATAATGACCGGCATCACGACAGGAACCCTTTCGTGTTTCATGTGGTGAGTGAGCGAGCTAACGCCCATTGTTTAATGGTTGGAGACGCCTTTGATACCTGTCAGGTCATGCAGATGTCACTTGCTAAATTCTGTCTTAAAAAAATTGTAATTTAACTGTTTCAGTTAATGTTAGTGAAACACAGGACTCTCATTTCGCCACACATGTGTAGCGTTGTAAAAAATATATATGTTATGCAAACAAACATACGCCATGTACGCGCTCTTTGTTTATTATCGGTATGCCGAATTACGCCTCAACTATAATTATTGGAGGTGCGGAGAAGCGGTCTTAGGTTGCAGGGTTCTGCGATTTTGGTTGTTTCAATGACGATTAACAAAATACTCATGGGCTGATAACGTGATATTATTTACGGTCGATCGACAATCACATCACAATTGTATATATTCACCTATACAAATACAGTTGAATAATATTACAATTGAAACATTATGATTTAAATATTTTACTACTGTTCATTTCTCATCACCTGGTTTGAATTATGTACGTGTCTCAGAATAAATCATTATAATATTACTATCCTACAACTATGCTAAAAATATGCTACAAAATCAATAGTGATCTTTTAGCTGTGATGATGGTAATAACTCTGATGATACGAATCAAAGAACGCTCGCGCGTCATTTTGTTGGGTTGTTTCTTTGCAATTTTATACAGATTTATACGATTAATCAAAATGTTTTTACGGTACACAGAACAAATTTTGCCTAGATATTACTGGCCGTAAGTATTTATACATATCTGCAGGTTTGATATTTGGTTAAGTAATGTCTCCTAATGGTAGTAGTTTATATGCAGTTAGAAAGTGAGTCAACACACGATAGTGACACGATAGATTAAAAGAACCAGTATTATTTCTAATACAATTTCTACTATTATATTACAAACATTTTACATTTCTTACTATTTTTAAATTTTATTTAGATCATGACCCTTTCTGTGGAATAACGTTATCATTCGTTGTGAGGACGCATACCAAACATGAGCTTTACTTAGATAAACATCCAGATATGAAACAATTATCTGATCAAGTAGTTCTTCCGTGTCCCGCTGAGCCAATACCTTGGACTGCGCCTTACTCTTAATAACATGCATTCGTACATCAATTGTTTCCGTTTGTATGTTTTTTAACGTTGGTAGCCATTTGGACTCCGAAATCAAAGCAAAAGTAAGGAAACATTCAAAGTTACAGTTTCATTTTAAAGTTGTTTCAGTGTTGTAGTAGTTTCAGCGCACCGTGGCACGGATCTCCAAGAGAATTAAGTCACCTCGGCCATTAATCACGCGTTTTCTGTGCAATCATAATATTTACATGTTTTACGCGATGTTAGGTTACAGAGTTTAGGTATATTCATGTTTTTATCACCCTATAATCCGGTATAGATTTATTTTGCATACAAAAAAAAAACAATACGAGGTAAAAATAAAATTAAAGTCTCGATACATTCCCATGAACTGATCACTGATATTAATAGTTTAATTTGAACTGTTTAAGTGTTTTCTAGTCGTCTAACAGTTTTATTTTCGCTCTCCATTGTTAAGTTTTACCACTATTATATTTATCTTATTGAATTAATTTCTGAATGAAGATTTAAAGTAATTATATGTTTATCTTAACAGAATTTATTGACTTTTATGTACTTTCATTACATAAAATTCCAACTTACAACTTACGCTCAGAGTTAATTTTTCACTACAATAATTTTCACGCTTTTAACACTCTTTTCGTTGAAAATCCTAATTCCTGATCTAATGTAAAATAAAGGCCCATATCAAGTTCCTACCACTCTACACCGTGAGGATTAAAATAACTATTTATTTGCAAAACTATCACTAGCTTCTAATGCCTATAAGTTTCCACACTATTGCACTAGATCCGAGCAAAGCGACTGCATGCGGCCACAAAGATATCCTGAACAAAACAAAGGTTCTACGTTGTTTAGGGATGAATCGGTGTAAACCTTATCCATTGTGTTCGAGAAAGGTATGTTTGATTCGGCTCGTGGCACCTTTTAGACGTGTCTGTCTGAATAACAAAGAATACTATAGATATGTTAAATGCCTACGACTAGTTTCATAGTTCAGTTACTTAATCAACCATTACTAAAACAGCGTGACGTAATGTGTCTTAATAGCGTCCCAGAGCTTCAGCAATGTCTAAATTTGATACTTACCATGGTAAGAGAAACTAAACTTTTTTATGTATATAATGAATTTATTTAAAATGATATTGCGGACAACTATGAAATGCCAACACAATCATTAACTATTTTTCGTATATTTTTCTGCGATACATTAAACTGGCCACAAATCAACATCACGAGACAATGTACAAGGCGCTAAGACCATTACGTTATTAAGGCTGATAAAAAAAACTTCGATGAGTTCATTTTACCCGACAAATATTAAGAGGCTGTGATCGCGTATGTGAAAATAGTGCCATAATTTATGCTTATTAATAAAGATCTAGCACTTGGCAAGAGTTTACACGCGATACCAATAAACAAATGGACTGTCAAACAATGCGTTATTCGAATTTATTACTGCGCAAATATTTCATATGTTATACCATCCTTTCTTTGATCTGCATATTATGATAGGACTTATTAAATCACATCGCCACTGCGAGACTGTTTTATATAAATACGTTCCAAGATTTCCCTGCACCGATGGTGAGACATATGGCGTTTCTTATGTCTGTGCATTTATCTATAGTTTTGTAACATCGTTGCAATTTTTTTGAGCGTCTTCATACATATCAGTGCCATCGTGCACCAAAAATATCACTACAGTCGTGCCCAACTAGAAGAAACGATTCACACGGTAGTATTTAACAAAGATTACAGCTTTGGATGGAATAACTAGAATAATACATGGACAATTCTATTCTTAGCTAGCCCTATTGCAAGACCAGCTCACTATTGGTGATATGCGCTTGACAGAATTAAAGAATTGAAATGAACTTGTTTAGCATTTGATGAAAGCTATGATTTACTACCTGCGAAAACGGGGTTCATGCTCATTAAATATTAATAACGAAAATTAAAACTAACACTAGGATAAGTAAATTTATATAACTAACTAGTTTGAATTGCTTATGTACATACAAGAAATAAAATCCTTTTTATTTTTTATATGTATTTTTATTTTGTTTTTTTTTTTTTTTTTTTATTATTCATATTCGTTAAATGATTTACTGCAAAATTGTAGCAATGACACTCTAGTAAGTTTATTTTGATTAACGCATCTGAGTTCCGTAGTAAATAATCTTTGGCCGTTATATCTCAACAAAGAGTCGCTTGTTTCGTCCAGCGAATGGCATTGTCCGCTCCCTCGCCATTCTATTGTTATTCCGATATTCACCAGTACACCTACAGTGCCGAGGGATGGACTTTTGGCGGTATTCGATCCGGGCGGCGCTTTTCACCAAAATGTCTCGGGTTGCTAGCTTGAAATTAGATGATTCACGTGATTCTAATGGAAACTGTCAACAATGTGTTTAATGACATTATAAAATAAATTTTAATTCTAATTTCGGTGTTTATACATTAGTTGGTGTACGATGATTCGTTGGGCCGTTAAAGGAAACAATATTTTATTTTTAAAGATTTTCTTTAATACTTTTTAATGTTTAGTTAATCAGAAATAATAAAGTGCCACTTTCACGCATCATATAGTACATGATAAATATTGTACATCGATGTTTGGAAAGAGAAAGTTTCGGTTTCATTATCTCTGTCACACACTGTCTGTCGTCTCTCTTCTATTTTATTTCTCTAACATCCATCCTTTATTACTAATTCAATAATCTTACAAAATTTTAATAAATATAACCAACGAAGTTTCAATTCTAACGTGTACTTTGTACAATGTATTTTCTTAGTAGCCGTCTTATTGAGTGATGTTTACTTTTAAAATTTTTGTACAGTTGACCAACATGTTGTGGTCACCAATTTAAAAAACGTCATGCTGCCGTAGACACATTTCCTAATTTATGGAGATATCAGATTAAACCCACCACTTAATGCCGATAAATAGTGACGTAATGTGGACCGAGCTAGTTCGGATTCCATTCATCAAGCGGATCGTTAGATGTCAAACTTTCAGGGGACGAAAACTTAGAGAAATATAGAGAGTCCAATAGCTCGTACGTCACGAATGGTGTCTACATCATTCTCGTCATCATGGGCGATTTTATTACCTACCTCTTGGCACCTAATTTTCCTCTTACCCTTAAACTCCTTCCCAGAGTTCAGTCAAGCTGTTTTCATATTACTTATCACTTACTTTTCACGAATTCGACGCTACCCACCATGGCGTCGAATACGTTAAAAGAGCTCGGCAAAGCTAGACCCTCCGACAGATAAATCGGAGACGGAAGAATCAGGCAGGTGCCAGTTCCAAGAAGCGCTCGCCTCACGACCTGTCTCCCTAAGCCTTGTTCAGAGCGACATGCGACGGCTCTGTTAATATACGAACCTGGAACTGACCACGTAAGCAGTCACATTAGAATTAATCCCCGCCCGGAGAAGCTGCCGTGTCAGGCCATCGTTTGCTTAATTTAAGTGACGTCTAATTAAAGACTGAATTCAGACGCGTCCTTTGACGGATTGCAGCCGGCATTTCGTCCAGCAAAGTGAAACGGACATCAGTACAGTGCTCAGTTGCGAATAATGCACTTAATGTCACGTTGAAATTAGTTATCGCTGTAGTGTAAGGGAGGGAAATATTATATATTACATATATAGTTAGTAGAAATTATCACGTAGCGAAGGGCGTTATGCGCCCTCCGCTGGAATATCAGTGACTTAATTGAGCACCGTGGAACAGGACCCGGGTGGTGATAGATTTTACAACTATTAGTAAACTCTTTTATGTAACTATGGTTAGGTTCATAGGTAGCCGGAGCCCAATTTTCAAAAGGTTGTCCACGCCTGTAACCCTCTGTAACTGTAACCCTCGGGTGTAGCAGATGTCCATGGGCGACGGTAGTCACTTACCATCAGGTGAACCGTCTGCTCGTTTGGCAACTTCTCACATTAAAAAAGAAAAAGCTGTTTTTAATCTATTATAATTATTATTTAGCCGCCGCCTGGGACAGACCAAGACCTCCAACACCAATAGGATTGCAGATGCGATACCACCAAAGGTTGTTAAATCCTGGTGCCAAAATTTTGGCTGTCCTGGTTTGATTCCCACATTGGATCAGTATCAATGAACAATTGTTCTGGATCTGGGTGATTATTCCCAAGGAAGGTTGACGTTAGGCTGAAGGCCAGTCGCAAAAAAAACCTAGCTAATGCCATTAAAATAAGAATCATATGTTGTAGTGAACCCCAGGTATCTGGAATAAGGGCAGGAGAAAGGAACACTCTGTGTACGCGAAATAGTATCAACACAAGTATAGCGATGAAAGGTATTATCTAAACCATTCGTTCAACACGGACGAGGAAAGCGTATGAACCTCGGCGATCGCTCCACTATTCGGGCCGTTTATCATTTATTTCATGGAGCGGATTAGCCGCTCGACTCCATTACCGTCCCACCTCGTTCGCTGCAACAAAGTCGGTCCAAATAAACAATCCGAGTGGGGGCAAGGGCCCGCTTTGATCTGCGCCCACTGAGTGATGGGCCCGGCCGCTCGCATCAAACCGTTAACTTGCTCACGTCAAAACCGTACTATTTCATACGCGGACTTAAAAGCGGGCACCGCTTTACGACCACTATAAATTACGCGGACGGTTGGAGTGAGCGCGCGCGGTGCTCGGAATGTACGGAGGGTGCGGCCCTCCCTACTTGGTCAGGTAGCGCCGCGCTCGGTTTCAGTTTATAGGCGCGCCGAGGAATGCCGGCCCGTGCATCAATCAGTCTGATTTGGATTCGGAACTGTTCGCATTCGCGCAGACGGTAAGGCGTTCGAGACGGATTAGGTGCTTGGTAGCGTGATGGCCTGCGCCTTTTAGGATTGCTAGTTGCAGCCACGATGACCTTTGGATTATGTCATGTGATTGATACAGTTCTATTCTCTTTAAACAATTTTGAAAAATCTTTTTGATAAAACGCAGATTTAATCCATCACACTTAACACTCTTAAATAATTATTGTCTATTGCCCCAAACCTCTAATTGATTTTGAATAATAGCACCTATACTAATGAGACAAATGTCGGATTTGTGTTCAAAGCATTAGTACTTAATCAGCTCTCACTACCTGGCGGTCAACCAATCATTTCGTAACATTGTTGCACAAAGGCTCATTTATTGCGCTGCGTCGCTGTAAATGCGTCATTGATGCCAAACGCTGGTTATTTCGAAGCCGCACAAAGTAACACGCCAACTATAACCAGTTAATTAGTGCAGTGGACTAGCGGTAAATCAAGCAATCAGTTAAACGGCCGTGCGACATAGTTGCGACCGGCGCGCGGGGTTCGGAATAGTGCCCCGGTGACAAATGCACCGCCGGGTTAATGGAGTGCGACGCTGAATAAATCTAGGATGCTGGAAGGTGAGAGATCGCCCGGACGTACGCAGGACGCCTAATTAACAGCGCACAGGTATGAAAATGGCGGCACCTGTCGCGCAATGAATTAACGGCCGCCGCGCCTGTTCAGGTATTAATGGTGGGCGTCGCGCAAGCACCGCTCGCTGCAAATGCTAGAGTATACATTAGGCTTAATGTCGTAATTTCGAATTGGGTTTAACGCTCGACGTTTTAATGGTATGGGAAAATAAATTGAAAAAAATCGAGACATGTTTGTTAATGTACGTTTATGCTATTCGTATAAATAAAAAGAACATGTGTAGCTTGCAGCGCCATGCTTTCTAGTTTATAGTATATATCAAGCGCATAAATGATAGTCCCAAACTTACACCAGGCTTAGTTTTTCAAAAGAATAAGTATATCTCGGACTTTTAAAAGGTAAATTAAATTTTTACCTTTACATATTATAAACAATTAAAAATAGATATTAATTTATTGAGATAGATTGATTTGCAGAAGATAAAAGAGATTTAAGAAGATTAACATTTCTAAATCAAAATGCATATGATGGTTATAAATTTTTATTGAAGAATACACTACCAAAATCAGATTACGTTGATAATTAAGAAATGAAATACTGTAATTAATAAAGCATTATGTAAATCCAAATCAGTGGACCAAGTATCGATCCCTGAAGGACGCTTATTCTAAAACGAAATTCTATAGTCCATACGTAAAACAATTTATGATGTAGAAATATTTTCACTTTCATCACTACCGCCAGTTATCGTAGTTCACTCTTTGAGCATTGATTGGTCCGTATTGAATTGTATTTCGCCCTTGTTTTTTGGCAAGTTTGCATAACAAACGTTTGCATCGGTCACGCGACGCACAATATTTTCGGCGGCCGCCCATCCGAACAGTGACAGCTCTTTGTTGGAACAACAACACGAAATATTGTGTCCAGCGTGTACGGACGTGTTTCCCGTTGTAAATTATTAGTATCGAAAATAAAATTTTATTGCCATCGCAACAATGTATTACGATTTCTGTTGCGCTCCGTGTTTAATAAACTGACCGGGATTTCTGAAATGTAGTTCGCTTTCGCGAGCTTGGCATTTATATTTAATTTGATATTTACTAGAGATTATAAAGTTTAAGAGTTTATTAGCTCATTGTCGGCATACGCCATCTGAAAGTAAAAAAAAGCACAAGACTCCCATTTCATACTCAGTGTATATTATCTACTTCGTGGATTCAGACTCGCACGACGGCATTTCTGCAAACCTCTTCAAGTCAAACCAATTACTTCCATAAACACCTACTCTGGTATTACGAATGCCTCTATGGGTCACCGTAATCACTTGTGACTAGATGAGCCACTCGCATGCTTTTCATCTAAATAAATAAAAAACATTAAAATATATTTCGGCCAGATATTAAAGTTTCAAAATGTTAAAATGAGGATATTTCAACCTGAAATGTCGAAAATTAGCAGAAAAATTTCCAAAGCTTTAAATAGACCACATGAATTTTTACTTAGTTTTCATAATCATCAAGAACTTGCTTGTGGAACAACATAACGTTAGATAAATAGCCCTTCAAGAAGAGAGCCTACTCGTAAAGCTTAGCATAAAGGCCGGCAACGAACTTGTGACTCAACTGATGTTTGCCTTCATTTTCCATAAAAAAAGATATCGTGAAACATTGCTACCCAAATGTGCAATCTTAAAGAAAAATATTGTAGCGTCAACTAGGAATAATTAATCGAGAACGCAACATTAATTCCGCCCGATCAGTTTCGCCGCACTCCCGCGTTCGGGAAGACCCGAACAGCCGTCCAGCAGTCAGATGCGGCCGCGTTACAAACGAGGGTGATCAGGGGAATCAACCGCCGATGCATCATGTCCACCATGCTTATTCATCATAACGGAGCTTCGTCAACATGAAACGCCACTTGTGACACGCGCGCTCGTCCCGTGCTGCCGTCAAAGACTCACCGCCCACTGGCGATTTGTCAGCTGTCAACCTGTACCTTAATTGCGCCCGGACACGTCCCTCCCCGCCCGCGCCCCACCCCCCGGACACCTTGATTAAACGGCCCGACTATTTATGTTTGGTACCGGGAACTCGATTCCCGTTTTACCCGCGACTGCGTTGACTGCTCTATCAAGAGACGTGCGAATTTCTCGGATTCAGAGGGAACTGTATAAATCTTCGAGCATACGAGCGGAAATGGCAGAGCGCTGGTGTAATCGAAAGGCTGCATCACTGTCGCTTTGCTGATGATGAAAGATCGGCTCAATTTCTCTCTGAATACAATTTTGACTAGAGATTACGCGAATATAACACACATGAGCCGTTCAATACACGTTTTTTTCACAAACTGTGAGAAGTCATTGCTTAATAAATGGAATATATGTAAGTTAATAAATGAAATTTAAAAATATGGAATGATAATATGAACGAATGGTTTTTGTCCATGTTGAACACGAGCCCTCTGTTTTTTCTTTGTCGTTCAACAAAGTTCAGCAAAGGAATGGAGCAGATCCCATCTGGATCTAACATGGTGGTCTGCAAGGGAACAGTGAACGGCCTTTACTGAGCTAGCGGTTATACTACCTACGACAGACACCATAGTCACTTACAAAGCAGGCTGTATTCATTAATTCCACCAGATCGAAAAGGGGTAAAAGCTTATAGCTAAACTTCTGTTGTCATAAATATTAATTACTGATTGTAAAAAGCGTCCGAAAAGTTTGACCTAAAATTTCATCATTCACGGAATCTCTTAAAATCATAATTAGACGAATCCGTCGGATTTATATGTTTACGTGTGGCGCGTGCTTCTACAGCGCAGGTTCGTTTCCCGGGTCGTAACTTTCGGCGAATTATGTAGATGGCCCAGATATAGGTGTTACAAAATAATCGGATGCTTCGAATGTTGGATCAGGCAGATCTGAAATGAAATTTACGACATAGAGTAATGCGTTTAACCTGTGTAGGATTACAGTGCGCGGTACTGTCGATTTTTAGTAATGTATTACACATTCGTGTTTTTGTGGTTAAATGGAAACCACTTTTAATACATCAGGTAAAACGTCAGCTGGCTTGCCAACTTTTCATATGAAAAAAGACTTCTACATTTTTTCACAATAGGTGGAGCTTTGAGAAAAAATCATCCTTGGATAACGGTTGTATCCGATGTTTGTGCTTTAAATACTTTGAATTTATACTTTTAATACTTCGCCTATAGAGTACAAGGAAAATGATAAAATTTTCAGGACTTATATACACACTCAATTATATATGTCTACGGGTTAAAAATGATTGTAATATTAACATTTCCGATATATTCAAAACCTGGTTTACATCTTTGAAGACTTTAATCCAAGTATGTGTTTTTTCTAAAACCTATAACATCGAATCATTTTAATCGATAAATTGAAACATAATGGTTACTTTCTTATATAAAGTCTAGAAAATATTAATTTTTGTAACATTACTCAATATGGAAAGGATTATTGTGATGATTTGAAAGAGTGATCAATAAAATATCATCGTCTAAGGCACGAAGTCTTGAAACAATGACTTTTTTTAAATATTGAACAAATGTGAAATTATTGACAAGATTCAGATGTAATGTATTTTTGTTCCCGTAAAGAAATGGCCGACGTCATATTTCACAGGTGTCGCGACATTTTAACCAGAAGTACTCTCAAAGTTTACTGATAAATTATGACCCATTCGTTGCATACAGCTTAATGATTAGTCGGCGTCTATTTAAATGAGAAAGTAATAAATTTTTTCCACTCGTGCATTTAATTTCAACGCGACCAATGACTTTGGAATAATGTTGGTAGTCAGCCTTGTCACTGCTGACCGGCTTAAGACGCAACATACTGGTTTTTAGGGTTCCGTACCCAAAGGGTAAAACGGGACCCTTTTACTAAGTCCCGCTGTATGTCTGTCCGTCTGTCACCAGGCTGTATCTCATGAACCGTGATAGTTACACATTTGAAATTTTCACCGATAATGTATTTCTGTTGCGGCTATAACAACAAATACCAAATGATTTTTTTGACGTTTGTATAGATAATGTCACGAAACCCTTTATGCGCAAGACCGACTCGCACTTAGCTATTTTCATATGTACACAAAAACCAGCTATCACCCTTGTTTTTATTTTAGAGTTTGGCAACCTCAGTTCACGAGGCAAGACAAAAAAGTTACAATACAAAGACAAGACAAATCCAATTTCAGGCACAAGGCTGTCACTGGCGTTATTTGAAAGATTGTTGCTTTATGCTTTGCTTTAAAGATACTACAATATTCATTAGTTATATTAGTGCTATCTCAAAAATTTAAACCGACATCGTAATAATGACAATGAAAAAGAAACAGAATCGGAGAAATTTGTATAAGAACACATTCGCTGGAACGCTAAATCTGTGAAGAAAATTTTTAGTATATATCATTCATTTATATACTCCGTGTAGGCCTTGAAAAAAACTTTATATGAATGATGAATGTGGCGACTATAAATGTACTCCTTTAATTTTTTATTCATGCTATATGGCCAGTCAGCAGAGAGTTTACATGACGTTAAGTGGTTACCGCTACCCATGGACATCTACAGTACCCAAAGGTTAAAGGGTAAGCCCCGGCTACCTTACTCATCAGAGGAAACTCTAAAATATAATTATTCTAGTTCACATTGGCCTGGTTTGGGTATTAATACAAGAGCCCACTTCCGAATCTTTACGAACACCATATATAGCAGAATCAGATTGAACATAAAAAACTTACAATATTATAAGATACTAGCGGACCGGACAACGTTGTACTGTGCACACTTAAATCCGACAACAACTTAAAAGAAAATGTGAATTAAAAAACTATTCTCGAATCGACCTAAAGACACAAAAATCAATTCAGCTGTTTAGGAGGAGTTCAGTGACATACACGCGTAGAGAAGAATTATATATATAGAGAAGATCAAAAATTCAGAATCGAAATAGAATTGGTCAACGCCAAGTTTCCAACACACCGACGCATGTTACAATATAATCGTTAGGTCCATTGATGTGATGATTGCATGACGTAGTCTGGTAAAGAAATTATCGTAAAAATTCGCAACAAACGACGTCTACCGCGCAAGCGACAGGTACGTTTCGCGTCTGAAATATCTGTGCGCACCGATGCCTTGGATTTTAATACTGTTTACGACAACTGAGGCGATTGAGGAAGTGGGAGCGCGCAATATAGCTATCGGCTTTTATTGATGCGAGATATATGCTTTCTTTATTTTCTCGAAGAAACCACGGTGAGTTCGACTCAAGACTTCCAGATGCAGACATTTGCCGCTCCACTATGCAACAGGTACTGCATTGCGGATGACTTTGTACGGTTTGCAAAATCACAGGCGCTTGATTTTAAATTTATTGTGTATCGTTGACGTCAGGTTTTTTTTATTGAGTTTAGTTTGTGTACATTTTGGATAAGATACTGTGATCGTATAGACCTTAATAAATAAAATACGAATATGTTTTTGCTTTTGAAAAGCTATTAAAAGATACGTGTACGACCATAAAATTGGCAATGAGGTGTTTTTCCTTTATGTTCATGATTTATTTATTTCATAATTTCCTGTATAATTGAGTGTATATTAAATTGTGAATAAAGAATCAGGTGTCGTCAAGATTAAAAATTATTCGATAATGTAACTGACAACGAGACTTAATAACTGCAGTAGGACCACGACCCTAGCAGTTGCAGCAGCCGAGGCTGTTGCAGGAACGGGCAGGCTCGTCCGAGTAAGTACCACGACCTCACAGAAGACCGGCGTAAAGTAGAAGTATAATAAATACTTTCGCGTTTCGAGGTAGCCGAAGCCCACTTTTCAACGTTTCTGCAACCCTCGGGTGTAGCAGATGTCCATGGGCGGTGGTATTCACTTAACATCAGGTGAACCATCTGCTTGCTTGGCAACTATTCACATTCAAAAAAATATACTTTTGAGAGATTTTTCATTAAGTCCTAATTCACTAGTACCATTAGTATGCGCTTATGCTGTTGATCGTGTGTCGCCTTGAGAAAACATTACACGGCGAATGTCGGTTGGTGACGAGACGTAGAAACAGGTATCCGGTTGGCTCGGCGGTCGATAATTAAAAACGGCGATAAATCCCGCCAACGGCCGTCTAGTTAGCTGAGCCGCCGCCAACTGGCGGGCGTTTCTTTTCAAACAATAATTGCCCTACGCAATAAAGACGGCCAAGTGCGAGACGGATTCGCGCACGGAGGGTTCCGTACCATTATCAATAAAATCTTCAAAAAAAATCAAGTATCGGAGCCCTATACCATTCAATTAATACCGCTTAAATATTATTTATTTATGTTTTTTAGTATTTGTTATTATAGCGGCAACAGAAATAGATCGTCTGTGAAAATTCCAACTGTCTAACTATCACGGTTCATGAGATACAGCCCAGTGACACACAGACAGACAGCGGAGTCTTAGTAACAGGGTCCCGTTTCACCCTTTGGTTACGGAACCCTAGAAAAGTGTCGAGACGGGGAAAAAACGCGAATAGAGACGGGCGCACAATTAATTCCCCGCAGGAGGCGGCCTGACAAAACGCCCGTGTACATCAAACACGAAAATAGCTCTTTTATAACCGCGTCCACTTGAACATGTGTAAGTGATAAAAATACACAGACTCTACGAGTACGCCACGTTTGCCGACGTACGAAAACACGCGACGGGTTTTCGTGTGCGGCGGCACTCATTCCAAACTCTCTCTTCTTCGATGACTCCGTGACGCAGATGCCAAGGTACGGCGTCAAGGGTCGTTCATTCGATTCCCACACGGAACAACCTTTTTTTTCCGAAATATAATTGTCGCATCGGGGTGTTTGTCCACGTGAAATTTATGTATGTAACACAGGATAATGTTATCCTAAAGTCAGGGCAATGCTATTTAAAAAAAAAGTTAGGGCAATGTTATTTAAAAAAAATAAAACAAAACTTCAACTTCATTAGCTGCATTGGATTGATGGGATTGCCATACGATCGCCGTGGCACGTTTCTGCTGGACATTCTGTCCTTTTGTTTTATTAAATTTCGTCGACCTTAACGGTAAGCGGCTTTGTGGAAGCACCAGAAGACTGCAGCATAGCATCGTACACGCCCAGGGACTTAAGGCGCTGTATGCAGTAAAAATAGGTTTTTCAAAAGATTTTTTAGCAACATCTACACGTTTTAATGTTAATCTTGATCGTACATTCTAAGGGAACATTGTTTCCAAAACATATTCTCGATATATTTTCTCGATAGAAAAAAATCATGAAACTACCTCTAAAAGAGAAATTCAAAACCAAAAATGAACGTAATACATGAACAAATCTTAATGAAATTAATATCAGTGGTGTAGAATATATTAATAAAAAGAATTGTTGTTTTAATTTGTTGATTGATGTAAGATATTTCTAAATATTAATTTAATTCATTAAAATTAATTCGAACGCGACGGCCAAAACACTGCGCCACCGCGGCGTTGTTTCGGCTCTCTTCCAACTCCACACGTTGAACAGAGAGCGCTGAGGCGCCTTGCTAGATGGACGTATGCCTCTCGTCTTCCGACGAAATATGTTCCGTATTTATTTATTATTGAGGGTTATAATTTTATTAGATCATTCGAAAACACGAAACTAAAAAATATATATTCACATATTTTGTATTTTTAATTATTTGTATGAATTAACAACTAAAGCGTAATTTCAATATCTTATCTTGTCATTGATAAGTTTATCAGTCCTATACAAACAGTGTAAAGGCAGGGATGCCAACTTAGGAATTTTCTTCCGTAATTTAGGAATAAAAAATGTGGAATGGAAGTTTATTGGGAGGTAAATTTTTATGGGAATATTTTTTTTAGGAGTTAATTTTTTTTCACATTTTCGAAAAAAACTACACAAAACAACTTATTTAAAAAAAATTCAGTGCCGTGCTGCTTTGGATGACGTCAGGCCAAGGCCTATGTGTCTGGTATGAATATTTTAAGTATTCTAATAATTTTTTATTATTGTTTTGATTTTATTCTTAACATATTCATTTCAAATGAATTATGTTATATTTCATGTTCTTGACCATGGTTTATTTTATCAGATAATTATTTTGCCTTTTCCTATAATATAAAAAATATCCTGATTTTAAATTTAGAAATTTTTGTTTCAATTTAATAAATTTTAGTCGGTTTTCGAATTGTTTTAGGAGTATTATTTTTGAACAGTTTGTAACACTGTGTAAAGGACCATCATTCTATAGGGATTGGGTTCAAATCCCTACATTTTTCTTTGTTATATTTTTTGGTGATTTTCTTTTTGTAGGTATTTTTTTTAATTTACCATTTAATTTTTGTTGATTTTTTTATTTTTATAAATAATTACAACGAAATATTATCGTATTTGTTGAACGTAGAACGCAACAGTTAGAGAACAATCTATCAGATAATAAACCAAGTTTTTTTTATTTAAAATTTTTAACAAGTCTTATATTGTATATTGTTTTTAATTTGTTTTATTAAAATATTTAATTTTTCACCCTAAAACGAAAACTATTCTTTTACGAACACGAAAATTAATTGTTTTATAATTTTTGTATTTTCCACATTTTATCAAATAACAACAAAATAATAAATTGATTAACAAATTAAAATTGGAAAAACATGTATTAACCATGACGTTCGGACCAATAGGCTACACGATGTCTGCGAAAGGGAACAATATTTCGATTCTAGTTATAATTGTTGTCGTTTATCGATATAAGGAATTTTATCGATAATTTTTTAAATTTAAGTTCATTGAGGAATTAATATAACGTAGTAAGTATTTCACATTTAAAGGATAAATTAAAGATATAAAGTTTAAGAAAATATGTAATAGAAAACTCGTATTCGTAATTTCTGCCGTGGAGACTATGAAATTACGTAATTAAACTTTAAATGAAAATAAATAATTATTCGTTTATTTATTGTTTTGTTGTAAGAAATGTCATTTGCCTTTATTAATTTATTTGACCTTAAGAGGTATTTTTAATCAATTCTAATCCGTTTCCTGATAATTTAAAATAATTAATAGGAAGTTTTTCTAAAATTGTTGATTGCTTTCTCACTTTATATTTGTTTGTTTATTATGATTACTATAATAATATAAAAGTAAAGTACAATCATGCTCTATAAAAGATATTATAGGGATCTACATTTTCGAAAGCCTTCCATGATACTATCGATAGTGTCCTACGGCCCATCACTACACACTAGGTAATGAATGGTCTAGCGGCGCGTCGACGAAACTCGCGCGCTGCGCGCCGCCAAGCGGCGTTACCCCTCCTCCGCTTCCTCATACTTCACCACCCAAATAGTTAAAAATTCACTGCATAACACGCCCTTGAGGCCCTGCGTTATTTGTCTGTCGACATATTGTGAGTCACTGCCTAGCAGGAAGGTGACGTTCCTATAAACCACTAAGACCTATAAGAAGCGAAGAGAGGATGTTGATAACTTAATCTTTACCACGATCTCCGTTACTTATACATACATGATACTTTTGAAGTGTAACATATCTGTGGGGAAAAATTGTTTTTACAATTTTCTGTCTGTTGTTCCGGCTAATCTCTGATATACAGATTTGGAAAGGACCTTCGTTAAGGAGTAACTTAGGCTACTTTTATTTTAAATTCCACGTACACAACTAGTATCTAAGTATTTATATATATTTCGTTATAATTGAGTTCGCAAACCGCAGCGGGGCCGCGTGGTGGTATGCCCTGATACCTTCTGTACAGAGAAGACTTTTGCCCAGCAGTGGGTTACAAGACACACACACTGTGTTACTTTAATATTTACTTTTTAAGCCTTTGTTTGTAAAATTATTTCACAAACAAGTTCTTTTTTTAAGAAAGTTGAGCAAAGAATCGAATCTTCCCAGTAATCACATCGACTTCCTATCGTATGCTTGTAATGTAGCGAATAAATCGTCTAATTCATAAAATGCACGTCTCGGGTGCGGTGGAGCACGCTATAAACAATTCCCCTGGAGGTGCTCTTGAAGGCCTCGATTAACATATAAATGCGGACCACTCGCGGGCGGTGAGGTAAATAAAAACCCAATCGGTACACCATTAAACGTAAGGTTCTGCGTGCCCCCTTACAGAGACTTAGCACAGAACACTTAACCGAATTTCGAAACGCAATAAAATACGATTGTTAGCTTTACTTTGTTTTATCGAGCTAAGAAGGTAGAAATATAAATTCTTTCACCAAATCACCGTAGTTTTACATTGTGCAACAATAACACTGGTATAATTACTTCCTTTATCACTTTAATATCACTAATGAAACACCACTCTAACAATTTAATTTGTGATACCGATTGGGCAGCACTATCGCGTATACTTCTTGTTGACAGCCAGAGAAAGACGAAGATGACGAAGAAGACGAAGTTAACCACGAAATGCCTCATGCAGCTTCATTTATGGCACATAGAATGACACTTCCATTAGTGTTGCCAACAACCTTAAGGAATAGCTTCCTTAGGTGTTGCCAACTGAAATTTTCCTGTGATACAATAAAAACTATGGCACAAAATGATTGTATTCATCAAAGATGAGTACTAAAATGTTAACCAAAGTCCAGTTTAACAACTTTGAACATAAAGCCGTTAATTATCCTCTTTACTGTGTATGTGTGCGTGCGATTGAATATATTATGTATGTCAATGTGGCAATTTTATTTAATTTTAAACAACTGGCTGAATTTGTTGGCCTGACTTTCTCTAATTTCCTGTTTACTTTGCATCTACTCGAGTAAACAACCGAAAGCTGACTACAAAGTGTCTGTTGTGCATTGCTCTGTTGCAGTTTACTTTAAAACGCAGGATTATTTTTTCCCCTAATCTTGAAGTGGCATGGGAATTTCTGGATTGACACTTTTTAAAATCTTAATGCTGCATTGTGATTATATATCTCTTATTGATGTAAAAGTTGAATGATTGAATACTACTGCAACAACTTTAACAAACAGAAAAAAAAAACAGTGAAAATATAACTGCAAAAACTAAAAATTATGTATAGTTATAAAACAAAAAAACATCATGTCTACCCCTGGTGGGACTCGAACCCACAATCCCCGGCTTAGGAGGCCGATGCCTTATCCATTAGGCCACAGGGGCTCTATGAGAGAGTGCCAAAAGTGTCATATACACTGAAAATACCTAGTTAATGGTGAGAATATATAAAAACTGTTAATATGACGTGACGTCATTACGGATAAACAGAGAACAGACATACAAACGTTACAGATTTTTATTGTTTCTGTCTTTGCATATGCCGAGACCGGGGACATACCACTGTCTCTTAGAAGGGGTTAGTTTAAGATTAAATTTAATATTATATTAATATTTATTTATAAACTTAAAGGTGTTTTTGTTGGATATAAGTTCCATAATTATTTATCAAATTGATGATATGAAATGTTCCTAATACCGTTTTAAACATTAACGAAAAATAGACCAGTACAAAAAAATAATGTTTGATAAGTAAAATATTCGCACAGGCAAACAAGAAGGTATAGCTCGCTTTTAACTGCTAATTACATATTGGTGGTTTTTTATTTGGATAACTGTCAACGTTTCAGACGTATGGAATACGAGATAATTAAATGTTAAAACTGATTAAAAGTGTATAGTGCGATATCGTATATATATACGATATCCACACTTTTAATCACCACAATTTTAATCTGAATAGGACTTTCATTATAAATGAATAAAAAACTTTAATGAAGTATCCTTATGAACAAATTTTACAGTAAATTTAAAGTTCCCGTTTTTTGAATAATACAGATTGACGTTTCGCATGAGAAAATAAAACTTGTAACATATAAAAACATTAAGGAAGAGAACGAGTTTAAATTAAGAAAATTGTAAAATTAAGAGAAATTAATTTAGTGTTTCTTTTTTTTTTATACATTGCCCTTACTTTAGGATAATATTATCCTGTGTTGTAAGGACGTTTTACAAACATAAATTTCTCGCGAACCACCACCCAGATGGGAACAACTATCTGTGGGTCACACAACTAGTTGTCCCGTGTGGGAATCGAACCCACGACCCCCAACGCCGAAGCCAATACCTTGGCAACTGCGCCACGGAGTCATCGAGTTTACCTCATTGACTTACAATTTGTTTACACCGTAATGGATTTGTAAAGTAGAAAGGCACTCCACCAGCAAATGCCGTTTTATATACGGCATATGCTGGTGGAGTGCCTTTCTACTTTTAACAACATAAGCACTTAACAGAAGATAATTTCCAATTAGCCAACAGTTCATTGCAGATATTTATATAACAAATAGCCAGAGCTATATATAGCTATTTTGATGGTAATGTAGCGGTAGATGATGAAATCACAATATCAACGTTACTGTTCCCAATTACTTCCATCGAAGAGGTGGAAAATCATTGCGTAGGTACGCGATGCAGGAGCTCTGGCGGCCGATCAAAATGTCTCGGGGACACGTGTGCGCGTATAAACAAATACATGGAACGCGTTTTAGTTCTATATAGATGTCGGACAAGATAACTCTGCAACGGATGCTTGTAGCATCAATAAAATATCAGTTCAAAGACATTCTAACCGGTTTATAGTCGAGTGGGCATTAAAATATTTTGAAGATAGATTGTAATAAAATAATATCTATAATGTAACGGAAAGTCGGTTGCGTTGACGTGACGCGCGGCGATTGTGTCCATTGCGTTTTAATTGGTAGGCCCAGTTTATAATGCACTCATTTAATTCGTCTAGTATTTTAAGTCGTTACTTTAATAATGACGATTAAAAATAAACGCAATTTTCAAGGACGGCGCGTTCTGAGGAATTAGTGCAAAAGTGAAATAATGTTGGACGCAAGTTTAATGATTCCACGAAGATGCGCACCGGATCTAAATATCCAAAGATTTACAGTCCGTACCGGCTGTGGAGTCATAGTGTAAACAATGTCAGTAGTGCATAATTAAAAATAACGCTTAGTACTAAATAAATAGGTAATGGCTTCCCAAAGCGAAGTCTATCAGCGGCTCCTACTCTGCTACTTTTAAATAACCTATAATGGTAAGAGAAACACTCAACTACACAGTGTAGAGTTACTCTTTTTCAATTTAACTATAAAATACTTTTACGTTAATTATTTAATTTTATTGGTAGCTAATCATGTTTTGTGCTAATTATTTTATTAATTAGTATTTGGCAATATTTTTAAATATTTCGTTATTAATAAAAATAGATTTACATAAATATGACTATCAACCTAGTTATGTGCTCTAACTTCTTACAAACTCATGACACCAAATGTTGGCAGTTGTGCCAATGTGAAATATTGTGAAAATGACGATTGATTACCTTTATTTTGTGCAAGTTTTAAAAATTCGTGAACGGATAGCGTGGCTGCTTTGACACTCTGTGCCACGAGCCTTACCGGCTGACGTAAGATGCATAATTCGCATGTACAGTTGTAAGAAACCGTCCTAATTATTTTGTTACTATCAACCGTCCGTAAACCCGAGTTCTCTGATCTCTCGGAACTGGAATCAGCGTCTTAAAGATCGCTAATGACGACTAAACAGGTGCATCCTGCCGCGTCTGCTCGCACACGATAAACTCAGTTATAAGTAAAATAAACTTGAGCAAAATTCTAGGTCTCTGCACTATAAAGATTTACAGATAAAGAGACAAGTTTTCGCGCCCAAATGTTCATCGTTGATTGTTCTTTGCGGCGCTTTGCTAAAAATACTACGGAAAGAACGTAGATAGATGCCGAGATCCCATCACCCACTTAGTCAGTAAAGCTTTAGGGCATGAAAACAAAAGACACAAGTTCGAATCGCCGAATTTCTCGCCGCGCCGTTCATTTATGTTCAAAAATTCACAATTAAAGTAGTTTCTTTCAGAATATTTAATGCACAATATTGATTTTGAAGGACCGTATTGTTATTTATTTATCATTTTTATAACTACATTAAATAAATAAATAAAATATGAAATGACAAAGGTTGGATGACAAAGGTTGGACTCTACCAGTCAACCTTGGACGTGAAGAAAAATTTTCTTTTTTTGTAATGTGAGAAGTTGTCAAACGAGCTAGCAGTTGACATTTGCAGCACCTGTAGGGTTGCAAATGCGTAAATCTATGAATCCGGTGTCACTTTGTAATTTTAAAGAATTGCTTCAATTTTTTTTTTATTAATTAAATATAATTAAACATTGGAGCTAGCCTGGCTGCTAAAGGTTTTAGTTAAAATTGCTTGTCCTATTGTCGTTAAACGGAATCCGAAAAATGTTGCATCAATACTTGTAATAAAATAGTTGGAAAAGAACAAACATATTCAGTGTAGCATGGAATTCAAATCCAGCTATATGCACTTGGATTTTCAGTTGGGTAAAAGAGTAGCAATTTCTGTTTCTGTCCACCCCGCTAAGATTGTAAGCACGCGATAGCTTTGCATAACGCAGCAACACGTGTAACATATTCAAGGCAGCATCTACAAAAGAAAATTTAAATCTCTCCAACGGGGCGACCGTTCCGTCTAGACTTCAATACCGATTGTCTGTCGCGTATTACGTCTTAGATAATTCTTTTTGAAACAACTCGACCGACAACCTCAGGTCAGTTGGCACAAGTCAGGCTGGGCTATTACATAAATCTCTTACAAAACACGCCAACTAATGAGTAATAATTTTTTCCTAGCCTCGTTTTACCTAAAATTATTAACAAATTTCATGTCTTTAATTTTGTGAGTTAGAAATAAATGTATGTGATATTCGTCAACCTTACGATTTAATTTACATAGAAATCCAAGCTGAATCCAATAACTACGTTATGTAATACGCGTATTATAACAATCTAATTACCCTTTTCGGCTGCGGTCGATTTCTTCTACATAAATCATTATTGTTTCTGTTAATCACTAGTCTTATAAGTTTTCTTTATAGTATTGCCATGCTTACCGAACTCCAATCTCAGAATCTGAATACGAAGCGGCATATATAAGGAGCTTGAATAGACGTGGAGCTTCAAAAGGAGCCTCTCACCTGGTCAGTCGACTGCCTATCGAGGCACCCGCACAACCTTGCGTGGCCCCCATTGGTGGACGCGGAGGCACCTGCCTCACCTTAGGAGCCGGCCAATGGGCCACTCACCTGTGCGGTCGATCCGAAGGCGGGGCGCTCCACCTGTGCCGTGAGACGAATTCAAGATGCCTCGTCAAAAGACTGGCCTCCTTCTCAGTTTTGTCTTCGTTAACATAACGTAGGAGAGCAATTTTTTCGTGTGTATGTATGTGCGTCTGATTCCAAATCTTTTGCAATGTTTTCCGTGCGTGTGTGTGCGTCTGATTCTTTTTTATTTAATTCTTTGGCACGTTTTACAAGCCAAACCTATTGACATATTTCAACTTATGAGCTATCATTAGATTCGTTTTAGTTGTCGGGTGGTATCTTATTTCAATAATTATGGTGTCCGCGAAGAAACAATAGAGGAATTATGTGTATTTTTGATGCAGTTTGAATGTCTGTAGATCCCGTCACAATGCTTATGATAAAAATGCTTACGTTTATAGATATTATGCATTTAACTAAGCAATGTTATATCTAGCTGTGAGTTTTTAAATTTTCCAATACAAAGAATTTTAGAATACCCTTACATATAAAACTGTAACGTAAAGTTCATTTGTAAAGGTCACAAAGCATATGAATGGGTTGAATGAATTTAAAAGAGAAAAAACATACTATTAGAAGGAGAGACTTGTATGTAATGCGACGCCATGGCAACGAATGAAAAAGTCTCTAAATGTATGAATCAGTCAGTTGTAGTTGTATAGGCTGTTACAAATTTTGTTTCTTTTTTACTTAATTAGTTTGTTTGAAAAATATATTTTTTTTAAGTATGGATTTTTTAACGTTAATATTTTTTATGATTATTGGCAAGTAGCGTTAGACGTGTGTTCATTTATTGTCGCGATGGTAACGACACGCTGTATATCTATATATATTTAGTATTCACAAAAATATGTTTACACAAAAACTAGGGTAGTTATTCACAAATATTACGTTTAAATAGACAGACAGAATCGACAGACTAAATATAAAAATTGACAAAGGGATCCTATTTCTAACTAGTCTCTTGTTAAGATTACTAAGATGCTAACCCATTACCGTTACAATAATAATTGTATTAAAATATGTAGAAAAAGTGCGAAAAGATTGTCGCCGCTGTGGGAACCCACGTCCGGCATTTGCGGCCTGTGTGTGGTTCGTGGGTTCGATTCCCACAGCGGCGACAATCTTTTCGAACTTTTTCTACATATTTTAATGTTCAATCTTAAGTGCAAAGATTAGCACTATAAACAATTTAAATTTCTAGTAATAATTGTAATCGATTATACCTCTAATAGATGGTCTTGGTCTCTAATCATAACTATAACTCCCTTTCATTGTCATGTATCAACTAATTAACAACTCGTAACGCGCTTTTGTTGATTTCTTACTCCATATTTATAGCAATGGCGGGTGCGGCCAACTTCGCATTTCTTTTTTCGCCTCCATCATAATGTTATCTGCCACAGATACACATTACACGGTCTTTTAGCTTTGTATTCTGGCGGAAATCCGGTGTGTAACGACTGGTAATGATGTGTGGACGTCTCACCTGGCCACTGCGACGCGCTCATTAGCGAATAGTGATGCGAAGCGGCGGCAAATGTTTGCTCGGTTATCGACAACGTTTATTCATTGAATTCATTGAATTCATTTTAGTATATATTTTATAATTCGTACAACTTTTGGTTTTCATTTATGAACGACAAAAAACTATCAACCCTAACATAATTTTGATATGTTTTTTTAATCTACACATTTATTACACATTACATAATATAATATGAGTGAGAGAATACATTATGAGTATAAAGTGAAAGTAATGTAACAGCCTATACAGCCCAATGCTGGACAGAGTCCTCCTCTATACAGATGCTATCAGTTCATATTTCGCAGCCCCACTGACGGAGTTCAAATATATTCAAAATATTTTTTTAATATTTCGAAACTGTGCAAGTTTCCTCGCAATGTTTTCCTTAACCGCTGAGCACGGGATATTTCAGCACCTAAAATCCTCAATTTTATTGCTGCAGGCACCAGATATTGAACTCTGGTTGCTCGAGTATATTTAATTAAAGGCGAGCGCCCTTACACTGAGCTATCACGGTTATGTGTATAAATAACTAAATTTGTCGAATATCATAAACCTTCTAATAAAGAATTATCATAACTTATATATACAGCGTGTCGTTACCAACGCGACAATAAATGAACACACATATAGAGGATAAATTTTTAAAATTGTATCAAAAATTTATATCTTTAAACATCAATATTTACAGAGTTGTTAAATTTTCCAATACAAAGAATTTTAGAATACCCTTACATATAAAACTGTAACGTAAAGTTCATTTGTAAAGGTCACAAAGCATATGAGTGGGTTGAATGAATTTAAAAGAGAAAAAACGAATGAAAAAGTCTCTAAATGTATGAATCAGTCAGTTGTAGTTGTATAGGCTGTTACAAATTTTGTTTCTTTTTTACTTAATTAGTTTGTTTGAAAAATATATTTTTTTAAGTATGGATTTTTTTAACGTTAATATTTTTATGATTATTGGCAAGTAGCGTTAGACGTGTGTTCATTTATTGTCGCGATGGTAACGACACGCTGTATATCATAAACTATCATAATTATAATAGCCTTAAACTATAACCGAAATGAACATCGACATGAAATAAAACACACCGGAACATCACTTTTCCGTCCACCGATGGGCGGCAAGTTTGCCAAAACAAACGAACGCGAGACGCGTCCACTGAAATGTCTATGACAAGTTCTGAACACCTTGGCGTAACGACCAAACTGCATCTTGGCTAAACGCATTTAGACTTGGCACGTGTCGGGGGAAGCTACTTTACGGATTAGTCTATTTCATTGTTTTTTGTTTAGCTCTGTACAAAAAAGCACTTAAATAATACCGATAAAAAATAGGTTAATGTAACTGACGGGTTGCTGCAATTTGGTGAGGATTTTTCGCTTTTAAAAGAAAAGAAAATCACTAATTTTTTATGTGAGAAGGTGACAAAAGAGCTGGTGGTGATTAACGCTGCCCATTGACAATTGCAACACCCGTGGTGTTGCAGATGAGTTGCCAACTTTTAGTAAAGCGGGCAATGGTTACCTCACACAACAGACGAAACGCAGAAGTGTAACGCTTCCAGTTCACGCCGTTCTGTGAGGTCGTGGCACACCTCCGAACGGAGCTGCCCATTCGTGCAACAGTGAAGGCAGTTGCATGGCCCTACCACAGTCATCTATCTATTGTGCGGTGAAAGGTGCGCAACGTGTCACTCTATAGAGCTATACATTGGAAGTAATGTGAAAAAATTTTATATAATAACAACAGCAATAAATAGCTACCAACATGTTAAATATAATAACACTCTTGGACTCGGTGGCGCAGTTGCTAAGGCATTGTTTCCGGAGGTTGTGGGTTCGATTCTCACACTGAAAAAGTTTATGTGTTATTCACACATACTTTTTTCGGATCTGGGTGTATCTTCTGAAGGCTGACATCAGGAAGCAGAGTCTAGCCAATTACTATTAACTAATTACAGCATGATCCACATATTATGTGTTAGTTATATATATATATATTCCGTCTAGGTGGGAATAAGGAAAGGAGTAAGAAATATATCCTTCTTCCAACCAGCTACAACCCATAGTTTCTTAGTTATAGGTAATTATAGTTTTTAACAGCGCCGAATATGATGTAATTGCAAAAATTTAACACGATTTCTAATTGCTCCCCTCCCGTGCTCGACTGAACCTGGCTATCGGATAGCAATTTACCGGCGGAATTGGGGTCCGGATAAAAAATATTGGACCCCCGAGGCTGAACCACATTACGTTGTCGTTAAGGTGTAGCCACACCAAAACCCACTTTCCTATAAATGACTGAGATATTGCCTCACTTAATATAGGCAAAGGTATTTCATTTCTTAAGCACATAAAACTAAAGCTGCATCCTTGTTCCAGTATGAAAGTAATAGAAAATTAAAGGTAATCCTTTTTTTTTGTAAAAGTTAAAAAACGAAACATTTAAGAAATTATACTTTCCCAATGAACAAGTCATCTTTCAGTCGCAATTTCAATAAATGTATGTCTTCTCTAAAATACTGTTAAAAATCTGGTAACAAATTACTCGATATTGTGGTGTTCAACACTTTGATAACAACAGATTGAACGTAGCGAACAAATTTAGCGATATAATCCTTACAAAAATCTTATTTCTAAAGGTAACAAATAACGAACCGCTTTACAATCTGCTCATCTGCGTACAACAGTTAGTAGACAAGCAAAGGGCTATTTGCAATGGCTGTCCGTCGCCTTAACGTCGATTTCGAACCGGCTACCGCTGATATCGCGTAGGTGGGCCGTTAGCGGCTATCTCGTGCGTAACGCGATCGTAATTTGATCTTTAGTGCCCCACGTGGGTGCGGATGGCGCAGCGGATGCCAGCGGTGGGGCTGGTGAAAGTTAAATGGGCAAAATAGTGGCTATAAGGGCAATGATATTAAAAGTACACATAGATATGACACTAGCGCACCGAAATGACTCGTTGACTCCGTGGCGCAGTCGCCAAGCTATTTGCTTCGGCGTCGAGGGTCGTGGGTTCGATTACCACACGGGACAACTATTTACGTGACCCACAGATAGTTGTTTCGCATCTGGGTGTTTGTCCACGTGAAATATATGTATGTAAATCGTCCTTGCAACAAAGGATAGCGATCGTTTTTAAAAAGAAAAAAAAACTGAGGCACTCAAACAAATTTAATTCTTTGACTGCTAATTGTAATTCTTTGACTGCTATTTCTTTCCGTGTTATACGTTCTATATTATTTGTCACATTCATTTATAAGTGTCATATTATGTAAATCGAACCAATTTTAAACACCGCACAGTATCGACATACTTCATCTATATTATTAAACATCATCGTATTTAGTAAAGTTATAAAAAACAGCGGAGTACCTATGTTCGCAACGTAACTTGGAATCCCAATACGATTTGTGAATTTTTGTTTCTGTAAGAAAGTAAAAAAAAAAAATTGTATTCACTATTGCGTTTTGTAGTCGATCTTTTTCCTAATACGTCATTTACTATTCTTATCTATAGAACTTTCATAAGAGTTTTTAACATGGCGAAATTGAAAAGAAATCTTTAAATTGTACATTGAGTTTGTTACTAGCGCAGTGTGACATGTTCATCAGATAGAGAAACAAAAAGTAGACGACACACACCTTCACCTACCGCGTTAGACTTGAAAACCTGAATTACTGATTTCCTTGCCTATTATTTAGTTTGATGTATTGAAATATGATTAGACAGCTAGCTCTCGTCAGTCTTTCAACGGGGATCTGTTGATTGACTAACTTCATTACAAATTAGATCTCGCGTAACAGTAGCGAGTGATGGCCTATGGTCATTTAGGCTTCATCACGCGCATTTAGCTAAAACGTCATTATCTAAGCCCAACTGTATTTTATAAAACGATTCCTTATTTTAATATAATTTAATTTGCATCCTATTATGTAGTGAAAATAGTAAATTGTAGTACCTAATAATAATTTGTTGTTGTATAGTTGACATTATTTGTCATCACAATTTTATTAATCAACTAGCGACCCGCCCCGGCTTCGCACGGTTGCAAATCTATTATATATAATATATGTGCATATAAACCTTCGTCTTGAATCACTCTATCTACTAAAAAATACCGCATTATGATCCGTTGCGTAGTTTTAAAGATCTAAGCATACATAAGGATAGACGAACAGCGAAACGACTTTGTTTTATACTACGTAGTGATTATATAATTAATTTTAATAAAACTGAATAATGACATATAATTATATTTGACAACAAAGTAAAGTTTGTATTAAATAATATCACGGTCAATGAATCATCTCTTAAAACCAATTTGTATGCCGTGATAGGGCGTAGACGTAATAGAATACTGTATATTAAATATTTTGCATGCAATTTTTGTACACCAAGTTTTTATAGATAAAGACTATCTATCTATCTCCATTTATCAAATGCAAATTTCAGACAGTGATTTTTGAAAGTAATAAAAACCGAAAAACTGAAACTCTTCAGTGCTTGCCACTACGATTTGAACTCACGAGCTTTAAGGTCGAAACTCCGATGTACTAACAACTAGACCACCACACACGAAAAATCTATCAAAATAATATGACCCAATTTCACCATCCAAGGCAACACTCGTTCAAATATTCATTGTAGACGTTATTTATGAATATACATACTATAAAGTAGCTTACTAGGTGGCGCCAAGCTTTTGCTAAAAATACAAAATAAAAATTAGATAGTTGTCGATATTTTCGCGCCGGGAGGACATTGGCCGCTTAGCTCGGTTCTCTAGAGCGTATATGCGCGTTAGCCCCACGAAGATACAGGTTTGAATCCCGCAGCGCCGAAAAGTTTTTTGTTAATTTTTCTACTACACTCACAGTGTATGTTATCCTTTTCGCACGATGATACTTAAAGGTTTAATTTATTATTTATCAACATAAATACATTTTCGCACGATGATACTAATAGCTGGTGGTCATCCCCTATGATATCATTATCAACGTAAATTCCAACCAAAATTAATATGCTCCTAAAATGAATTTCAATTATTAAATAACTCTTACAATTATTAAATAACTAATAAATCTTACAAAACGTTGCGGTGGTAGGTGGCATATGGTACGCGAATATCGTGTCGTAATACCAAATTCCACACAAACTTGGTAGGGTCGCGGCAGCATCTGTTGCTGAAAGGATGGCCTTTCCAGGGAAGTACGTAGCACAGGAGACGAGCGTGAAGTGCAAGTATTATTATACTTTCGTGTTTCGTCTGGTCAGGGAAGTAAGCGAGGTCCACTTGTTTGACCTTTAGTAACCCTTCATGTGTTGTAAATATCCATGGGTGGCGCTAATCATTTAAATTCACGTGAACTGCTCGCTTACCAAACTTTCATTTAAATAAAAATATATGGCTACCCACTTTGCATATATTTTTTTAATTCAAAACTGGCTAACACTTGACTGCCATCCCATATGAGGTTAGAGCTTTTATACGTTTGGATCTGCATACGATTGATGACAGTTACGCTACATCGCGTCGTAATACTGGGGTGTTACCTATTTATGTCTACCCAATTCGCAAAAGAGGTGAGACTTGCACACGTTTGGATCCGAGGAGGGCTAACGACGCCGGATAGCGCTCTGGTCGTTAGCAGCCAACGTAAATTAATCCGAGTGTCGGACAGCTGGCGTCCATCGCGGCGGCGTTCCCGACAGATTACCTGAGAGTTATTGCTTATTTTTCAATTGGGCGAAAACGCGAAAAAGCCCGCCGCTGCCAAAATCGCTTGGCACGGGAACGCCAAGGTGTTACACGATCCGTATAATACACGCTCCCTGAAATAGTGCGCGCCAAGACTCGAGGGAAGGGATCGTCGCAATTTCTTTTCGAATTTAATACTCTACCACTATATTCTTTTAAATGGTTCCGATGGAGATTTAAAAAAACGGACGCAATTTTGGAATAATTTTAATCAATGTTGACTGCTCGCTAAGTGTAATTTTTTGCAGGTATTTTTTTTTTTTTTTTTTTTTAGCCCGTACAGCCTTTTTGGCGCTAGGAAGGAGCATACATATTCCACGTACAATCTTCTTGGTTGATATATGCAAAAATCTTATTTAGTCACCAGTGTACGGCCATCAAGCTCTCTTGTAAAGTTTTGCGATTTAAAAAAACTGTCACACCTCTATTTGTTGAAGCGACAAAAGTTGTCAAATTTTGCACTATATGGTTATTATAGTAATAAATTTTTGAAATTTACATTGTATGTACAGTATTTGGTTGCTGAAGAATAATTTTCTGTAGCAAACGTGTTGTAAATATCAATTAATATATTACTTAATTGCAACTAGAGAACAGAATTACAGCATTACAAGCAACAACATACATAAACTAACTGATTGGAGAGATCAAGGAAGCATCAGGGTTTTATTATTTCGCGTACCGCTGGTGTGGCAAGACATTAAGCGTTCCCGTCACTAATAGGTGAGTTACAGATGCTATCATTAAATATGAATTTTACGGCGCCCACGCAGATAAAAATCAGGAATAGGAAATATAAATTACTTTCCCAAAGCAGTTCAGAAACGGGAAAGAGGACGGACAGGTTTTTTTTTTTTTTTTTTTTTTCTTTCAACTTGGTAAAATGATATTTTAAATTGAACAAAGCACAGGCAAAATTTTATAGTAAATTCATTCATCTCGTTTTATGTCTTAGAAGAAAGTACCATCATTTAGATAGAGCACTTAGAAAAAATTTTGACTTGCAAACGTAATTTCTACAAGTGACTCAATAGAAATTTTAGTTTTACCATTTGTATCAGTATTTCACGTGTATATGACACTTATGAAAAATTACCTCTACTTAAAACTGCGAAGAGAAATTAAATCAACGACATGTATTGTCCAGAAATTAAGATCCATAGAAGGAATAAACATATCTGTACAAATGTATTAGACCACAATTCCTTCATAAATCTCCAAAATATTTTATGTGCATTTCTTACACATGCTGATTCATTCTTAGAGTTGAGCACATGTAAAATGATAGTTAAATATGTGCCTAACAATTATGTCTGATATCGCGATTTCAACTGCGGTCGCTTGTGACCGGACAAGATCTAGGCTCATACCATAACTTGAGATAGATATATCAAAATCTAGAGCGTTACAGTGCGAATCCCGAATACGTGGGATCAATTCCCACAGCGGCGAGATACTTTTCGTTCCTTTTGCCCACAAAAAATGTAATATTTTTAATCTTAAGTGCAGAGAATTAGCACTATAAAAAATCCTTCTCGCAATGTATCAGCCGCGTCTAACCGGAGCGCGCCTATAGCAACTGTTTAATTTTAAGTTTTTACCACCTGAGCTACATTGTGGAATGCAAATAAAGAATGAAGTACATGAACAAAAGCATTTCTGGCTGCAAATCGCAATCCCCCACAGGTGCGAGATAGCCGCGGGCCGTTGAAGTGTCGCCACCGTCGCTTACGGTGTCTGCCACGTGACAGTTGACAGGCCGCCTGACAGCTGACAGCGCGCGTGACAGATTGAGGCGGCGGGCGCCCGCGGACTCCATTGTTTTCCCGCGCCGATTCTTTTTCCCGCTCTTTGTTCCTTGTCTATTTTAATCACGCCGCCGTGCCGCCTCTCTCGCGTGATCAAACGGTCCATTTAGCTGCGTACTAGTGCAGAATTCTTGGGCTTTTAGAGAAAACGACATGTGATAGTATTGAGTGTGCACTTAACTCCTAATTATACTCAATGGACTATGGAATAGTCGTCCTTAGATTAATTAATTTCGTTTGCTTAGTCCGTCGATTATTGTCGTGGAAATATTGAGTTTTCTGAATTTATTATCTTTGGAATGGTATTGAATTTATCATTGCAGTGATAGAGTAGTAGCGCCGTAAAATTAAATTTATAACAGTTTAATTTTACTATTCTACTAGTGAATTTAATAATAGAACAATAATTAACTCGCAATTGTTTTCATTTGATTAATTTGATGTACAATAATATCTTATGAGTTTGACATTTGTTGAAATCAGTTCCATTCTTCGGTGTGGTCTACACTCTGGTTAAACTTTGGTGCAGTTCTCAACCACATCCCCATTTTTATATTTTCTTCTATTGCAACTAAAAACTTCACGGACACGGATAGAGTTAAAGTTAAAACATAATTGCCTCGAAGTTTTCACTGACGTCAGTTACTAAATGCAAATTTGTGAGATACATTAAACTAAGCAGATAATTGCCACTCGTTATTTCAAGGTTGACAGTTGGCCAAGCATCGTCTGAGATTCGAACGTCGGGCATAGATTAAGCGTCGACCAGAAAATAGAAACGGTAGGAATGATGGCGTAGGTATAAAAGTATTTAGTGACGCCAAAGAGTTTTCACGCTATTCTGATGCGGAATGCTTCTACTAGAATTATACACATAATTCAAGCTCGTCTCTGATTAGTTTTGTAATATTTTATCATATTATGATGACACTCAATATTTTGACATCGATTAATATAAAAATATATTGCCCTTTTCTGGTTTTTCTTAGGATTTGAAATGAAACTTTTAAAATTTCAAACTAAAAACTTTTTATTTTAATAATTTAACCCAATAATAACTTTGTTACTCAAGGGTCAACCCTTATATACAGCCTTGCAATAGTGACAGCATTTTTATCATCAGTACAGTTTTTTTTTTATAAATTACAGATTATGATTTCAAAATTTGTATGCGACAAAATCTTTTTACATTGCTCTTTGAGAAAAGTTCTTGCAAACTTTTGTGAGTATTTTGTGATGTTTAAATTATTATAAACTTATCTACTTTAGGATTACTTCTATTGAAATCTGGGGTTTTAGGTGAATTAAATACCACGTAATTATTTGCAACTTACAACTACGATATTTCGAGGAGATCTCTTCATATATAAGTTGTGTAGACCTTTGAACCAATTTTGTTTCTAAAAATATGCAGTACACAGCCACAGCGGAAGTTCGTCAGATAATGGCTGCTTACGCAGATTATCTTAAGACATCTTTACGATAAGCTCGTAATACATTGAATTTGAAAGTAACACAGTTTCGTTTGTACGGGAACAGAAAAAATGGTGATAAACTAAATAATACTCATTTTATGATGTCACAGGAGAAGATTAAAGTGGAAAATGTAAAGAATGAAATGCGCGTGTGATATCGGTGGACGCGTATCTATTTAAAATAGTCGCATCTGCTCGTAACTTTGTCTAGATGTAAGATCAAAGGACGCCGCCCGGTCGCGCGTCCACGGCCGTTTGACACAACACGGCATCGTTAATGCATTTAATGTTCCATTATAACGCACCCTAATAGCTGGGGTATTTACCTTAAGTGTCGTATCGATAAATCAAAATTACTTTGATGCCCGTTCAAAATCCTTACGAGGGTGTGTCGTTTTGTAGCCGTCTATGGCTTATCCTTATCGGAATCAAAAATAATGAAGTCTTCATAGTCGCCCTTGCGAGATACTATTTAGGTAGATTATACCATAGCTTTACTTAAAAAAAAAGTCACAGCCTATACATGTCCCTCTGCTGGGCAAAGGCCTCCTCCGTACAGAGGGTCATATAGCCGCATAGTCTACCACGCGGCCCCACTGCGGCTTAATGGGCTTCATATATTTTCGAAAATATGCAGGTTTCCTCACGGTGTTTTCCTTCACCGCTGGGCACGCGATGAGACAGCACTTAAAATTAACAGTTTAATTGGTGCCGGCACCGGGGATTGAACTCAGGTTGCTAGAGTATGTCTAATTAAAGGCGAGCGCCCGGACATTGCGCTATCACGGCTAGTAATATCTTTTTACCGGAATTATGTTATCCCCAACACGACAGGTCAGATATGTTAGCCGAATTTTGTTTCCTAGAAATCTTAAAAAAGCAAAACTCACTGAGATTTGAAATCGAAGCCTATATCACTGATGTGCAATTCCGATTACAACCTTCATGCCATCTTTGCTTCTTTGATTAATGATACAAGGTTTTAATGTGAGAGAACAGTAACTAGAGAGTAGTAATTACATATTTTCTTTACTTTATTAAAGAAATTCTATTTATAAAGAATCCAAGTACTGCAGGCCCTTCATATATCCTCATGATCACTACATAGTATAAAACAAAGTCGTCTCGTTGTCTGTCTGTCCCTATGTATGCTTAGATCTTTAAAACTACGCAACAGAGCTTGATGCAGTTTTTTATAGTAGATAAATTGATTCAGGAGGAAGATTTATATGTATAACACGTTGCACCCGTGCGAAGATGGGGCGGGTCGCTAGTATATTTTAAATATTTTACCTAATCATTTCTATCATTAACCTAAGGTTTTATGCACTTTTAGCAACGCAGTCAGTTGTTATCAGCTTTATTACCGAACCATTAAGAATTGAAATTCTTCAGTGTTAACCATTCTTTTCTCAGGAGGTTCCAAGGCATCTGCAAGTTCTCTCTTCTTACTTATTTTCAGGGGCAGCGGAGACCACTTGATTTTAGGAGGTCTTATAGTTTCTGTTCTTAGTTTGCCACTTCCTTAACAACATTTTAAATAAGCATAGCACTGAGAATAACGTCCCTCGATATTGATTTACGTAGCTACGATGAGTAATTTGGAGTAGTGGCTCAACTACTGGCTCCGCAGTCATAAAGACATCAGGTAAAGACATCTTAATGTTACAAATTATCTTATAATTCAATGATCATAATTATGAAACAAAAAAAGATGAAAAGACAAGGCAAAACACAATAATCGGTCAATGACCTTAAACCGCTCTTCTTAATTTATTCTTCTTTTAAGCGCCTCCGAAATTCTGTTCCTGATCTGCGATATCGGCGCAAAGACATCCGGTGTGCGTCGGGCAGGAGCGGAAATACGCCGCCCGTGGCCACGCTTCCGGCCCGTAAGTGCGGCCTTCTGACCCAATTTCCGGTTTACACATTTCACAGATTACGTGTGCGATAACGTTGAATACATAACTTATATATAACGATTGCGTCGATGGTCTCAAATGTGAATAACTTACTTGTTCTCAACTTCGTTTTCCAAATCAATAACGCTTTAGATACGCAAAGGTGGATCAAAAATCAATAATAAATTCATCTGAGGATTCGGTGTCACCGTTACTAAGCTATTGGCTTCGGCATCGGGGTTTATGAGTTCGATTCCCAGACGGTACGAGTTTTTTGTGACCCACAGAAAATTTTTCCGAATACCGGTGTTTGATTCCTAAGGTGATTTGACATCAGGCAGGGGGCTGAATGTAAAAAACATAGTCAAAACCACTTACAAAATGATTCGCATGTTTTGTCGACCCCACCTAGGTGGAATAATACGAGAATGATGAAATAAATTCGTCAAAATGAAATGGTTTATAGACCCAATGAAAAAATCGAAGCACCGTCGTTATAACTTGTTAATCAATAAAATTCCCAGTCCCGACACGCAGAGCAACGCTATCCGATCAAGATTTACAATCGAGCTAACAGACGACCGCACGGACGGGCACCATAAATTGTTTTATATTCACGCCGCCGCTTCCGGGAGCGGGGCAGACCGCGGCGTATTTCGCGCAAGCACTTAAACGATAACGTTGCCGGTAATAAAGGCGTTATGAAGGATGGCCATGTTTCGAAGTTTGGCGGGATTGTTGTCAACTCGGAGTGCCTAAGTTTTTTCATCTATTTCAATTATCATTAAAAGTATTACTAAGTATATAATATGTGAAAATAAGAAATTAAACACTAAGTGTTAATAGTATATTCCTTTTCTTAAAACATGTTATAGTATGATGTTCATCTTATACAAAATATTAGTATGTGTATGATAGAAATATGTACAATAAGATAGGAGGAATGTGAGATATAATTATCAATTTTGAAAATATGAAATATGATTTTTTCGATATAAAGCATTTAAGTAAACATCGCTTATTTAACAACGATCACTATTGAGATTATTTACAATTCAATATATTAAATAAAGACTGAACCTTTTGGGCCAACCAACTAACTAAGGTTAGATATTGTCGCAAATAAGTTACCCTTTGATTTTCGTAAATCGAAGACCTTAGTGCGGCCCCGTTTTATACTCTCCATATACTCTTCTTAAATGCCCTAGAAAATACAATAATTAAGTCTTGATAGAATGATATAAAAGTGGTTTGCGTCTATGAAAAGTCAGTTTTTATAGTCACCCTAATGTTGAGGCCTGCCCACCCAGGTTATGCGATAGAATGAAGGTAATCACATACATTGTTTACGTTACCGACTGTCAGTTTTGTGCTAATGCCAAGGAATCTACTAAGATACAACCTAAGGTGTTATTTCTGGCAGAGCGGGGTGAATGACGTCGTTATGTTATTGGATGAACATCTGCATTTTTTAATTCGTTATCACAAGCGAATTATTGCTTCATTGTATAACTTGAGTGCCTAACTATAGGTAATGTTTTGTAATTTTATCAGGTAAAATAATGTCAAACCGTCGAAAGTTTATAATAGAACAATGGAATTAACCAATAATGTATTTTTGTAAGTCGAATAATTTACGTCTATTGATTGACATACTTTATTGACATCCATTGTGATAGGTTATGAGAAAAATAACAAATTTTACATTATATTAATTTTTCGCATTAACT